CTCCTCAGACTCTAGAAGCAGTTCGAGAGGAGTTGGTGGTTGCCTGGAATGAGATACCACAGGAGGACATTGACCACGTGATCAGAAGCATGCCTAGGCGCGTTGGAGAATGCGTAGCACATCAGGGTGCATCCACACATTATTAAAGGTCAAAGGGCTTTAAAGCAGCGCAATCATTTTGAAATTTTTATCATTTACTTATTATGCTTCATTAAGTACTTATACAAAATTTTATTAAAATAAAACCATTTAAACTGGGTGTTCGGATTTATATGTCACTTAGTATATTTTTGGATCTTAGAGATTTGGCCGCATCAAGAAAAAATTGTCTCCTCCCGCTTTCCAAAAAGTTTTGGGGCTTGCATATTCCCACGACACCTGCCGGAGCTGTTTTTACACTCCAAAGAATTTCGGGAGTACATTCGAATGTTTTATACTGGCCTTTTTGGGAAAATACCTGCGCGCGTCCATCGTAATTGGTAGGATTGTTGTCAAATAGTTGTTGGCACCAAGATCAAAGAGACCGAAAGTTTCTGATGTGTCTGGGTGGCTCATTTCAAAATATCTCACCAGGCTAATTTTCTTATTATAAATTCAGTTTGTCGACAATTCATCATCAGTAATCAGATCAATCGAATTTCGCTCAACTGTAGACACGCGAAAGGAAATAAAACATCCTTGCTGAGAATCTTCAAAGTTTAAAAATTCTTGCGTGTCTCCCATCCTCCAATTCAGACGAAACTGGTGTTTTGGGTGAGTAGGGCGTAGAGACCATGAATCCAACATGGCCGATATCGTTATTTTTGAATATCTGGTATTATTACTTTTTAATATCTAGTTCCCGGAGTCGTGATCACGTCACGCTTTTTCTCGGTGTTTGGTGATTTGCGATTTAGAAATGTCATTCAGTGAATCACGGTTTGTGGAATATCTGCCACCACTAATCTGGCATCAATTTTTCTCTAAGATTGACAATTTCCAGTGAAAGTCACATTTTTCCTACTTCACATAGGGTTTTGCAATGTATTGAAATTTTGTAGCATCCCAGATTACCACAGTACCAAATTTCGTTCACTTGGTGGCGCAGATCGCGAGATAGAAATTTTCTTGTTGAAAAAGTATTTGGAGAAATTATTTACAAACAGATTATCGAACTTTTCGAGGGAAATTTTAACCCAATTTCAAGCTGGATTCAGGAAGAAACACTCAACTGGTCTTAGAGGACTTGAAATAGGAAACATACAATGACGGTGTTTTTGAACTTAATAGTCAAAATTCTACAAAGCTACTTGACTGACAGAAGTCAAAAATACAAAATTGGATCTAGATTATCAAGCTCAAAAAATATTTGTGTTGGTCTACCACAAGGTAGTAAACTAGGTCCACTACTAATTATTTTATACATTGACGACTTTTGTGATATTTTAGATTATTGTAAAATTCAGATATTTGCAGATGATACATATATACATATATTTGCAGATATCAGATGAAAATATAGACACTGCTAGGCAAGGTGTGGCATGCGGGCCTCTTCTATAAACTAATCTAAAAATTACTGAAATCTTTTCTTGAAGGAAGGCAGTTTCGGATCAAAATTAACAATGTTTTGTCAACAAGACGGCCAGTTCGGGCCGGTTTTCCTCAGGGCTCGGTTCTAGGACTAAGCTTTTATTCGCTTTTTAACCATGATGTCCCTTGCCCTAGCAACTGTGAAGTCTACCTCTACGCTGAAGACACTGCACTTGTCGTCCAGTCGCGTACTGGTGATCTGGTTCACGATGGGTTGCAGAGTGCGGTGGACGAAGTACTAGAGTGGGCCTAACGGTGGCTGATTAATATTAATCATTCAAAAAACGTCGCGGAACCCCAGCAGAGGTTTCTGTAGACGGCAATCGTGTACCATGGACAAATTCTGCCAAGTACCTCGGTGTCCTCGAAATTGAGTTTGATAAACAAGGTCGCCTATATCAGATTATTATTAGACCAGCCATTACTTATGCATGTGCGGCTTGGTGTTTTCTTGCCAAGACACACATGCAAAGTCTTCAAGTGCTGCAAAGCAGAACTTTGTGAACAATTTGCAACGCTCCATGGTATGTCTCAAACGAGACACTACACAGAGACCTTGGCATTCCTTACTTGAGAGATTATGTCAAGCTTCAGGCGCAGCGACGTTATAGTCAAGCGAAATTGCACAGCAACCCTCTGATGCTTGACTAAGTAGACCACACAGTGGAGCAAGTTTGTAAACATTAAAGGCCACGGCTTGCGCCGTAATAAAAATTAGCGTGAACTCTTAGGAACTTTAAACTTACACTCTAACAAAACTGAATCAAAATTTGTTTAGTTCGCCTAAAAATTAATTCGTGTACCAAGTCAAAAAGCCTAGGTGTTTCCTCTTAAACTAAACACTTCTGTTCTTGTTTGCTCTTCGACTTTTTTCTTCTCTTTCCCTTTCTCCTTTTCCTTGACATTGTCTGGTTTCTGAGCAACCAGGACTGACAGACTCGACTAACGTACATTAGACAGTGACTAATGGGCAAAGGTCCTATGGACCGCCCAGACAAACAAATGGCGAATAGTTATAGGCACTCCAATGCGCGATATTGACTTGGCAAAAATCATAAATTGGTTAAATCTAAATAAACTGAAATCCAATACTTTTAAAACAAAAGGTATGCTAATGAAAATACTATAACACTTGGATCAATTGAATATTTAGGTATATATAATTATTGATAGTAGACTGAAGCTTGAGGATCACTATGAATAAATACATTATTTCAAAAATTGACTAAAAACGAATTACGTTTCACCGACACCATTAAATATTTATTTAATATTTTTAAAAAATGTTTGAAAAATATTTGTTCCGACCGATTTTTTGATATTTAATAAATATGTTTCTTATATATTTATAAAATATTCATTATAGATGTTTATAGTATATATAATTCATATATTTTTGCGATATTTTTTCCAAATATTTAGAAAATATATGAGGAAAGATTTTTAAATATCAATTTTATATTTTGATGGAATATCTAATATTTTTTGTAAATATGTAAGGATTTTCAAGCATTGATCTGATACATATTTTCAGTGTAGGTAGAACATTCTTCATTGATTATTTTAGCAAAACCTGTGGGAATGCTTATATAAAATTGGGTTTCTAAAGAAAATTCATTCTAGACATAATGGTTTAATTGACTAGAAAATATTATCAAAAAATACATTCTAAGCCTCTTCTTCATCTTGCAAGTCCACTCCTCTAAAAAAAAAACTTACAAATTATGAAGTATTATTGAATACATAAGCTGCTTTCCAGTGTATTTATTGGTGCTGAGCATGGTGAGTTACTCCGAGTAGCTCAACTGGGCCACTGAAAAGCAGCGCTATAATGCACCTAAAAGGACCCCAGACGTTATGCCTATGATAGTTCGAGATTTGGTTAATTTTTAAGAAAATTTAGTATGTGATTTTAGATATGTTGATGAAAAATGTCCAGGGGCACAACTTGATCTTTTGACTAACACTTATTGATTTTGTTTAAATGTAACTTTTTTTTTGTAGTACATTTCAAGGTTAGTTATTTATGGTCTTATGAATACCTTTATACTCAGTTGGCACAATAATGTTTACTAGTCAGATAAATTAAGCTATGTAATTATCGAAAAGCTTACCCTTATCTCTCTTCCACAAAAAAACACTCAAATAATGAACCACTTGGAGATACACAGGAAGCACGCTACCATAGTGAAAGTCACATGTAAAATGGCTGCCGGCAAACGGGTCATCTCACGCCGACTTGCTATTGGTCGCTCGAGTTCACGCGCACATGCGCCGTAGCCGAAAATATTTAATCAATATTTTCTAAATATTGGAGATTTAATATTTTACATTGATTTAAAAGTAAATATTTAATGAATATTATAAAATATATATAATATAATGAAATATTTAAAAGATATTGAATAAATATTTAATAAAAATATTATATTACAAATATTTATTAAATATTTGTTTAAGAAAACAAATATTTAAGTAAGATAAAAATACTATTAAATATTAAATAGATATTTATTGAATATTTCGTGCTATCGGGGTTATAGGGCTTTTCATGGTCATAGTCCAAAAAAATATTTTATAATCCAATTATTCTCCCGCATTTACTATATTGTTGTTCAACTATCTTGCTCACTACCCATAAAGCTGTATTATCAAAATTATAAGTCCTGCAAAAAAAAGCTATGAGAATGATATTGAATAAAAGTAAGTACACCAGAATATAGTATATGTTTAAAGAACTGCAGCGGTTAAATTTAAAAAAAATATAGCATATTTCGTTCTTATATTTATAGTTAAAATAAAAAATCATCTTTTTCCACAACATTTAGAACACCACGTAGTATCGTATAATCATTGTATATTAGAGGAAATATAGATTTCCATTTATAAATTTGCAATAGTAATATAACTAGCAAAAAATTAATAAACTAAATAATGATATAATGTCTACTAGTAATTTAAAGAAAATTAAGGCAATATTTCATGGACAGTGAAAATGTTTAGAGATGCAAATTTTGTTTTCCAAGTTTCTGTATGCTATGAAAATGTTGTAGGTTTTAAAAGAATGTAATTGTAGCAATTATGCTAAATAAATTTTAAACAAACAAAAAAAGTCAAACATTCAAGAATATTTTTAAAAAAGTATTTGCAATTCAAGTGGAACTTCGTTTTTTTTTGCTAAACCTGGCGCATAGATTATAAAACTGATACCAGTTCCTAAATTACGGCAGCCCAAATAAGATCTCTCGATATTTTTGGATTTTTTAGTGGTCATATTCGAAATCATTATCCCACAAAGGTTCTTGCTTATTTCGGAATTATATTAGAACCATCTTCATGCGGGTGCACAATGCTCTAATACTTTCCATGATTTTGCCACTTTCAGACCGTTGGGCCACCTACCACGGTTGAAAAAAAATGGTAACATGTATTATAAAATCTCCTATATTATAATAATAAAATATAACATGATTACTCCTAAAACTAACTCCTAAGACTATCAATGACTTTACGACGATTAAAAATACTTTCACTACACATTGCCTGCCCAAAAATTGTACAGTCTCACATTACACCATAGCCGGATAGTTAAAAAGTATATAATTTCTATCAGAGATAATAGTGAAAATCCAGTGAACAGGCCCAGCAATCCTCCGAAGTTTGCCAAGAAATCGGTAGGCCCATACAGCTCGTTCCTTTCAGATGTGAGAAAAGAATCGTATTTGAAGACAATTGACAGCTTTGCGTGGACGAGCCTGAAAATACCAATGTTTTGATATCCATCAAAAATAATTCCACTAACGTATTCCCTATTACACAAATAACGCCTCTTCCTGTCCTCTATAATGGTGAGAGGAAAGGAAACAAATAAAAAGAGAAGAGAAGGGAAACCCTTCCGCTTACACGTAATTAAATCAGTGGCTGTATACTGGAGGTAAGCGACATATCACGTTTGCAACTAGTTCTCGATGTCTGGATCACGTCACGCTTTTTCACGGTATCACAGTTCATGAAATATCTACCAACACTACACTCATTATCTGTTTTTTGCAAGTAGCTCTATAATTACAGTGTGGGGTTACGGATGCGTACCTTACACGCATAAAAAAACAATATACAACTTTTGTATTGGTGCTTGCTTCTGCTACTGTCTCTTAGATAACGCAAGGATATTCGATTTTTTGATCTATCTAATGTTTCAATTTGGTATTTTTAGGCGTTGATTCCGCACAGTCAAAATAGGTATTAGTAAGGCCAAAAGGGATTGAAGATTATAGAGAAATCTATGAGACAATAGCAGAACCAAACACTGTAACTCTACAATGTAGATTTCTAAAGGACTTCGCACAAAAATGGGTTCAAATCGATTTGTGTCAAAATATAGTATATTGTATAGTTATCATGAGGCCAAATCATTGATTTGATTAGTTTCTGAGAAATTGTTAGAAAAGGTCTGACCAATTTGAAAAATCGAGTGCCGATTTTAGGTCTCGGACCAAAAACTCGCAGAAATGGTATACTTCGACACGTCAAGAACACGATGCTGTTGGTAGTGGTATCCACGCAAAATATTAATTAACGTTTTAGAGACTATTGACCATGGATATACGAGTAATATCGACAAGCGCATGAAAATAGTGACGACTTGCCTAATGATCATCAACTAATTAATAGGCAGTACTGTAGATGTTAATCTGGCGCCCAAACTATAACATATACTCATGGGGCTATCTTAATATGCTGTCCATGAGATTGAAGTTCGTTGTGCTTCCAAAAAGTTAAGCCAAAACTTTCGATACGCCGAAAGGCAGACCAAACCAAGAAATCTCAAAAATAATCAATAAATTACAATAGCCTAGAGCTAAGTTCATATTAGGACACTTTGTAAAGGGGCAAATAATAATCGACCTCGCTCTCGAAAATCGCCATCGAGAACAGCGAGAACCAAGAGGCATTCAGCGTTATAAACGCATGGTCTGAAGAATGGACTGCACGGTAAAACAACAGCATACCTTACATTATCCACAAACCACCTAGTTTTGAACACGCAGAATATGGTCCACTTTAAACTGGATTCCTACTCGTCATGCTAGACGCGCATTAGGGTGGTGCGTCGCTATGGGTGTGGAAAAAAATATGTTTGACATTAAAATTCCCTGCATACAGGAAAGTTGTGTGCTAAAATTAGAAAATGAATCGTATTTTTTTCAGTTTTTTTGATGTTTTTTTAAATTAGCCTTAGTTACGTCAGCTACTTCTTCTTTTCAACTGACCAATGTATACTAAGTGACATATAAATCCGAACACCCAGTTTAAATGGTTTTATTTTAATAAAAGTTGGTGAATGTATTTATCTTACTGTAAATAACAAGAGAAACAATTTTCAGCCTTGTTGGACATTCCGGTTTTTATACTGCTTTTTTTTAATTCACTAACGCTCTAAAAATGAATATTTCAGCCGCAGTAAAGAATCAACGTTGGCGGATTTTGGTTCTTGACATCCTTTACGATCGGTTACGATGCCTAGAGTACGGAGACCTGTACGATTTCGTCAACTTAGTGAGCTTGATAGGGGCCGTATAGTGGGACTTCGGGAAGCTGGACTTTCTTTTCGGGCAATTGCAGTTAGAGTGCAAAGAAGTTTAGACACTGTGGTTAGGTGTTGTCAGACATGGCTTCGAGAAGGCCGTACGCAAAGAGCAAGGGCACTGGACGCTGCCGTAGCACAACAGACCGTTAAGATCGCCGCCTAAGATTATTGGCCTTAAGGGACCGTTTCTCCACTACCAGGTCCATTGCAAATGAATGGTTTGCAGAACACGGAAGACCTATTGGCATGCGAAGTGTTTACCGATGAATGAGAAGTTTTGGCTTGTTTTCATACCGGCCACACTGGGTCCTCCTTTTAACTCGAGAACACCGGCGTAATCGCCTTGAGTGGTGCAGACAACGGTCACTCTGGGATCAGGAATGGAACAGTATTGTCTTTAGTGACGAGTCTCGATTTTGTTTAGGTATGCACGATGGTCGTGCCAGGGTTAGAAAGCGAAGTGGTGAAAGGAGGAATCCACAGTTTTTTGTTGAAAGACATGTTCATCACACTGTTGGAGTTATGGTTTAGGGTGCTATAGCTTATGGTTTCAGGTCACCTTTAATCTTCATCAGAGGTAACATGAACGCGCAGCGTTATATCCACGAAGTTCTAGAACCCCATCTTTTACCCTATCTTGACACCCTGGCAGATCCAACTTTCCAACAAGATAATGCCCGACCACATGTTGCAACAGTCACAATAGACTTCTTTCAACATAATGATGTCACATTGTTACCATGGCCACCAAGATCTCCCGACTTATCCCCAATTGAGCACGTGTGGGATATGATGGGTAGGAGGTTGCTCAATTTGCAACGTCCTCCTCAGACTCTAGAAGCACTTCGAGAGGAGTTGGTGGCTTCATTAAGTACTTATACAAAATTTTATTAAGATAAAACCATTTAAACTGGGTTTTCGGATTTATATGTCACTTAGTATATATATCCTCCAGACATCTCCTTCGCCAAACCTTATCACTATAAGTGATAAGGGTTAAAAACAGGATTTCTTATAAAAAAATTGTTATACAAATTAAGTTAAGAGATAAATATAAATATGTAAAATATAAAAATTTTTCCTGCTTTCAATCTTTGGCATATTTGCTCTCTATTCCAAAGTATTTCGAATAATCCCATCTCTTCTCTTTGGACCACAAACCGAAGTGGATGTTTGCGTGACTAATTTTATCGCTCTTTCAACTGCTTGGCTATGAAAAAGCAAATCGCTACAATAGGACCCTCTTCAGATAAACCTCTTGTAATGGGAGGTACGTTGTATTGAATAGTCTGCCAATTTAATAACCTAATAATCACAATCAAAGTTAAGCTTAGGAATAATAAAATTGAGAACGTCTTTATCATAACTTATATTATTTCGTGCTATTCTATGATAAGCAAGTTTTCTTATATACTATTTTTCATCCCAACGCATAGCTAGCAGAACGTTTTCGACATGACCAAAGTGACCATTTTTTTGAATGGCTTCATAAACTATATTTCTTTAGTCCTTTGGTAAATATCGACTTATTTTGATGGTATTCAAAATATCCGCAAATGCAAGAAGAATTCTGCTTGATGTTAAACCACATTGGCGAATAAACTTTTATTACAAATGTCGATAATGTTACCAAACTATCCGACGGACCTTTAGTAGCTACATAAAGCATGAGGATTATCTGTGGTTAGCAATCTGGAGTGATTAAGCTTTCCAGGATCGCGCTTTGACGTATTTTTCATCCAAATTCCACTTAGAACGACTTGACAAATATCGTAAAGGTATTTCTGATGTCAACAATTCGACTGAATTTGACAAAGGGCAGATTCTTACAACGCACTAGCATTTGCCCGATAGGACCGTTAAATGCTCAAGGTCCAGATGTTTTGCCATCTCGGTATTGGATTAAGTGCCTTAGAGGGAGTTCATTAGCATGGAGGTCTGTACCGTTACCAATAAGTGTTGCCAAGTTTAATAAAATTAATAGTTAATTTATTTATAATTCAATTTGTTTTACAAACATAATATTACGTTTTTCTAACTTTAAGATTCCTGACCGAAAAATAGTTCTTATATAGTGAGATGAAAAGATTTTTCTCATAATACAAACTGATTTAAGTTGGTCATCCACCTCCCCAGCTCCGTTTTAGTATAAGAAAATGATTTGACCTTGGGAAGGTGGAAGACTAACTCCAATCATTTTTTGTTATGAGAGTAAAATACTTGCATTCCTTAGACACACCTTTTCCGCACCCAGGAATTTTGAATTTTTCAAACTTGAAATGTCGCACCACCCTAACGCGTATACTCCCTGCATAAATGGGGTAAGCAGCCATCTCGTCAGTGTGACTGCGGTCAGAACCAGATCATTGATCACATTATTCAGGATTACCTCACAAGGGCCAATAATAGTCACCCTGACGACTTCCTATTCGAAAATCCAGACTCTACAGGTATATTAATGGTCTTAATGTTCCATTAATTTTGAGTGGTGAACATAGTGACGTCATAATGTTGGCATTTTCAGGGCACTACTGACGTACTCCTACCAACAAATATGACGTATATAAGACCTCATCGTATGTCGCATAAAAAGCCAAATAAAAAGTCGATATGATGTCTGTATAACGTGGATATAACGTCTATCTGACGTCTATATGACTTACAGTCGCTCGCAAAAATAAACGCGGTGTATCCAATTGCTCCTGAAAAATGGAGGATGTGACAAGCAGTTAGTTCAGGAGTGGTAGAAAGCTGCCGAAAGTCATATTCGACTTACCTACTACTGTTGAACCCTCTTGTTCCGAGACGTCTTTATCACCTCCACAATTTTTCAGGAGCGTTTGTACAACGTGTATTTAAATGGTTAATAAAGAACTAAAAAACATCATTTGATCTCAAACACGTTCCAGCTCTCCGATGCTTCAGAATTTGTTTGTAGCAGTTTATGAAAATCGGTTTGCTTTCTGACAGAAGGCCAAAATACTTCTTGCCTCCTGGATGCCGCTCAAGCCTTATTGACTATGTGGAAATATTGTCGTCCCTACTAAATTGTACCACAATGTACCTTAAATACGAAGAAGCCATCGTGATGTCAATCAAAACCATAGATTTATAAAACAAAATGGATGACCCATTGGCAAGCGGCGAACACGCATGGAAATTGAACATCGGTTGAGCTTATCGCGAAGGACAACCGTGATTCTTGGCTGATGATCGGATGCATGATAAGCCGTTCCAAAATGTGAATTCTTACTGCGTTTGATTACAAATATTCTAATAATAAAACTTGTTTATTGTTATACAGGGGAGGTTCTAATACATTTTTTATTTACGGGAATAATATTTTTATATATCTGAACCTGGAATAATATTATTAGAAAAGTCATATTGACATGATAATGGAGGAATTCCTGACATTTTTTTATAAATAATAATATAGTTGTTATAATTTGGATATTTAGCTTACCTTAATGTTTATTGAAAGTCTATAATTTCAATGTAGTAAGTGTTGATTTTTCAGTAGTTACTGTCCTAGGAAAGACGTCAAAATGGCAGCCTTTTAAAGTACGTCTTGTTGTCGTCATAAAGATCGCATCAATAAAGACGTCATTTTTTAGTCAATGACGTTTGAGACCAAAATTGATAGAATAATGACGTCATCGAGTTCACTGGGAAGACTCAGCACGGTTGCTTCCTCTGATCACGAAATTCATAAGTACTGATTTTTGAGGATTTATAATAAGCACCTTGCATACCCCTTTTTAAGCTCCTTAATACAATATTATGCTTGGCTATCTTCAGGTAAAATACGTTAGTCAATGATCGTACTGAAGTCTATACTCACGACGTGTTCATCTCTTTTCTCTGTTTTGCAAAGTACAACCGGTCGTAATGCCAATTTGATTGCGAATGATCTGCCTCATATTTCAAATGAACACATGCTGGTCTACAGTCGCAGAAAAATGCAGCTTTTCCAACATTCAAACTGTTGTGCAGTTCTAAATACTTCAAGTCCCCTAAAAATGAAGTATCGAGTTTTTAGATATCAGTTTGTGACGCTTATAGTCTCTCAATATGTTAACAGCGATCTCTTGGCCTAATAAACAATAGACCAAGCTGACTAGACAAAAATCATTCCTATTTCAGAAAAAATTGTAATAAGAGCTTTTGCAGCGGTGTTATATCCTTGAGGGCATATGACAAGCCTCTCCTCATCAAGTGATGTAATAAATTTAGCTGGCTAACTTTTTTGTTAAACCCCAAAGTTGGAAAAATCACTTATTCTTGTATATTCAAATACATATACAGGGTGTTTCAGTTTATTGTTGCATAACTTTAAGATTCGATAGAACTTTTAAAATTAATGCATAAAGTCTATATGAACATGGGTTGAAAAATGCTTGGCTTCCGAAATATAGGGTGTTTAAATTTACTTTCTAAAATAGTTTTTTTAAATATTTCGAACAATATTTGGTGCATAACGGTGAAAATTGGTATACAAGGGTTTTTTTGGTACGACAAAACGAACCATGGGCATAGTTTTACTGTAGCCGCTAGAGGGCGCTCTCTACTGTACCTGTAGTGTATTAAAATGACCGAAAAATTTTTCTTAGTGCAATTTTTTGCTTTTTGAATAAAAAAACTGATTCTTCGCACTTTTCAGCATAAAAAAGCTCTCTTGTGAATTTTCGTTATAGTTAGCCGTTTTTGAGATATTTCGATTTTTAAGTTTCGATGCATTTTTAATTATTTATGATAAAATAACGTTGAAAAGCCTGTATCTCGATAACTTTTAGAAGTAGGCTGTGCCTGCAAATATTTTTGAAATTGAAAGCAGAATAAGGTTAAACGTCAATTAGTTGACAGTTAGTTTTGTTGTCTGTTGAAACCTGAAATGTTTTTTTGCAATTGTGAATGCACGAAATTTAGTTTCTTTTACCTGTTTTTTTTGTAAGTTTTATAAAAATGCCATTTTTATTCTCTAATCAAGAGTTAGCGGATATTCATTTTGTGTATGGCTTTGTAAATGGAAACGCAGCAGAAGCAGCCAGAGAATACGCACGAAGATTTCCAAACAGACGACATCCAACTCGCTCAGTATTTGTAAGAGTGCATCGCCAAATAATTGAAACTGGTTTTGGAAATCTCCAAAGGGATCAAAACATAAATGTTCGTCAGCGCAGATTTACCCATATGATTCTGCGTGAGTTTGATAGAGATCCGACCACAAGTGTTAGGAGAGTTTCTGGTGCCTTGGGAATTTCAGCAAGCCATGTTCACCGTGTTCTTAGAAATGACCTTAGACGTCCTTACCATTTGCAACATGTGCAAGGACTACAGCCAGGGGAATCACATTTTGTCAGTGGATTCTTGATAGAACTGATAATAATAGCGAGTTTTTAAGTAACGTTTTATGGACCGATGAGTCATGCTTCACTAGACGTGGAGTGGTAAATTTTCGTAATCAACATATTTGGTCGCATGAAAATCCGCATGCAGTTCGGGAAAGAAATTTTCAGCATGAATTTAGTATGAACGTGTGGATTGGTATCTACCGTAATCGACTATTTGGACCCTACCTTTTGCCTGCAAGGTTAAATGCTGCGACCTTCTTGGAATTTTTAAAGGCTGAACATGCAAATATGTGGGATGATGTTATGTTAGATTTAAGAAGATGGGCCTGGTTCCAGCTTGATGGTTGTCCAGCTCATTATTCGATAATAGTTAGAAACTGGCTGGACGAGAATTATCCATTATGGATCGGCCGTGGAGGACCAGTCGCCTGGCCTCCACGATCCCCTGACCTAAATCCATTAGATATCTTTGTGTGGGGATTTCTAAAAGAAAAAGTGTACCAGACTCCCGTAACCACAAGCGATATGCTAATAGACAAAATCAGGAATGCATGTGATGAAATAAGGTCTTATTTGAATAATGCTATACCACGTTCGATCATTCGTAGATGTGAATTGTATATTGAACAATTGGGTTTACATTTCGAGCAACTACTTTAGATTTTGTATGTTTGTCCTAACTATCCAATAGCATTTTAGTTGTAAATAATTAATTTAATTTGTTAAAAATAATATTGGAAAATTAAACAAATTAGTATTCTGTTATTTTGTGTTTATTTGGAGTTAGGAATTATTGCTGTGTTTAAAAACACAATCTAAACGATCATCTAAATTACTTGTAATGCCCAAATCGAAAATGTAAAAAAATATTATTTTCCCATAAATAATTAAAAATGCATCGAACCTTAAAAATCGAAATACCTCAAAAACGGCTAACTATAACGAAAACCCACAAGAGAGCTCTTTTATGTTGAAAAGTGCGAAGAATCAGTTTTTTATTCAAAAAGCAAAAAATTGCACTAAGAAAAAATTTCGGTCATTTTAATACACTACAGGTACAGTAGAGAGCGCCCTCTAGCGGCTACAATAAAACTATGTCCATGGTTCGTTTTGTTGTACCAAAAAACCCTTGTATACCAATTTTCACTGTTATACATCAAATATTGTTCGAAATATTAAAAAAAAAACTATTTTAGAAAGTAAATTTAAACACCCTGTATTTCGGAAGAGACGCATTTTTCGACCCATGTTTATATAGACTTTATGCATTAGTTTTAAAAGTTCTATCGAATCTTAAAGTTATGCACCAATAAACTGAAACACCCTGTATATTAATGGTAAAAGTGGTCCAAAAAAATTTGTGGTGAATGAAATTATCTCTGATATGACTCCTTACACGGCCCATTTGCCGTATCTGTTAATTTATTACAAAAAAAAAATCGTCTGAAATCGTGGATTTCTCCATTTATTTTTTACTAGAAAATGTATAACGATGAATCTGGTATAATAATAATATTAATGGTGTAGATTCTGTAAGAAAAAATACCCTTTTTCGACGAACTTTCGAACAATTTTGGATCAAGCAAATGGCCTCACTCTAGGCTCACTCGCTTGCTAGAAGCTTAGTTTAATATCTTCTTAAAGTATGTACCATATTCATTTACAGAACTATGTAAAAAAGCGTCGCCAAGAGTACATCTATTTTTGCCTTCGTAATAAGAATGTGCACTACGGAAAACTTTTTGGACCTTTGGGGCTCGAAAGAACAATAAAAAAAGGTAGAACCTACACCAAAGTTCAGACGGTGTTTTGAACTTGTGTCCGTTCACGAGCACAAGTATGTCACAAGTTAGACGTTGATAAATACAGCTATCGTGCCTCTTAACCCATGTCTGCTTATACCGTAATATATCACTCCTTTGATTTTCTGTAAATAAATTAGAATTACACTGATAGCGCTGTAATTGGGGATCATGTTTTCAGATAACCTGTAATATAAATCTTGAATAGAGCATTTCAAGTTTGAATAAGAAAATAAAACAAACTACGACCCCGAAAAAGAAAGACGTCATTTGAATTCGGTGTGGTAATGCCTCATTTTTGTAAGATAATAATCATGATAATAATAAACCGACTTTTATGAAAAAAAACAAATTACAGATAATAAATACATGTACGAGTATTACCTATAATTGAATTAGTGAGCGGCTTGATGGTGAAGTTTAGTTATAACAGCTATTTAGACACTTAACCATTTACTACATAAATGTATTAGATGGTAGAAAAATACAGCTGTATTACACGTAAATTGAAAGGGAGAAAATTCGCGAGCAACCGATCGCAACCTTAACAAATCTTAGCAAAAAACTATAATACTGGAGAAAATCACTTTTAGAAAACATCATTAAGCAGAAGAGCTGTTAAGTGTTCTCTAAAACTATACAGGGTGACTTTGAAGTTGAGTCATTAATTTTCAGATAATGATTGTAGAAGGAAGATAAGCCAAAAATGTGTGTAAAAATAAAAAAAAATTAAAAAAAAAATTTTACCTTGTTTTATAAAGTATCCTCCCGACAAGTATTTCAGTGCGGACCTGTATTTGATCGTGAGGTCCCCTGTGAGGTCTTAAGTCACCTGATTCACGAGCCCGTTGTACTACATTAACAAAGGCACGAGGGGTTGGTTGCACTCGATTGGGAAACCGATCCGCATAAACATGTGCCATTTTTTATTTCGTTTGAGCCACGCAACAGACACTATTCACACGCCTTACCGACTGACACTGACTGTATGTATAACTGAACTGAATAAAATAATTGTAAAAACATCGTTCCAAATTCTTTCGCTTTTTTGTTTCCGATGCGATGAACCGATAAGGCGGATTATATCCGTTGTTGCCAAACACGAGCACATGATATTATTATTGAGACAGGGCGGTACTCAAATTTCCAAAGGGCTATAACTTTGTTACTTTAATTTTACCAGAAAAATGGTAAAGGAAAAAAACATTTCGTTTGATCAGATCTACTGACTGTTAAAATAAATGACTCAACTTCGAAGTCACCCTGTATAGAAGCAGGCTTCTGGTTCTATAACCTGAGCTATAGTACAACACGCGCGCATTATAACATATTTATGAGAAGGACCGTTTAAAAAGGAATGAAGGGGCATTGTTAATGATGTGTTACGAATGTATGTAGTCGCAGTATGACACTGCAGTGACCTCTATGAGAAAAATGGTATTTCGTCTCACAAGAGTCGTTAAAGTGTGTATTTTTCATCAGCGACTTTCAAACAACAACGGAGTTACTCTTAGTTCTTTGTAAGGCAAAACAAGAGGTACCCTTGATGATGCCTTTTTACATGGTTAAGATCAAGATATTAAACTAAGACTCTAGCAAGAAAATAAACCCAGTATAACGCCATTTGATTGATCCTAAGTTGCTGAACCATTTTTCTGAGAAAAATTATTAATAATTCTAAAATTGCAGAAACGGTTGAACAACTTTTGGCTATTATTCCAGACTAACCTTTATGCAGTTTCCAGTAAAAAATACAGGTATAAATCGACGATTCTTGACGTTTTTTTTTGCAACCACAAATTAGGTGTTTGGGCAGTGTAAGGTCTAATTTTGAAGGTATTTTCATCGACTACAATTTTCTTAGACCACTTACACCAAGAATAAAATTACCTTACAGCGATAACAAATAATCGCTTAGGTCAGCAATGAAAAAGAAACTAATGAATATATCATTAAAGAACAAGGACATAGTCATGCCAGTGCAGACTGTCATGCTGCATCACACCAACTGAGTCAAGACGGAAAAATCCAAAGAAATTAAGAGTACATGTCATACACTGGGTTAAGAACTTAATTCTTCTTTAACACGTTAGGCAAATGGCTTTCTCAGTCTTACAAGCAATAGTCACTGTTTTGCGGAAATTTTCCTAAAGCGATTTATATACAGGGTGGCGCATCGAAAACGAAACAGACGCATTAACTGGCAGCTCAGTTTCTTTTGGAAAAACGCTCAAACTCGTCGATTCTGTTTTCGATGGGGGACACAAGTTTGGCAAAAAGTCACGTTAACACGTGCAGCCCCCTGAGCGGGGGTGACACCAACCCTTAAATCTTAAATGGAAAGGGGGGTCGAGTGATACCATATTTTAAAGGTCTTTCAATTCCCTTATAATGATGTAAAATACATGCGTTTCGGTTCAGTACTTTTGAAGATTTATTGATTTAAAGCTTAAAGTAGACTTTAATAGGTAGTAGGTCAGATTAGTTTGTACTACTTACAGAAGAAATACAGAAGAATTTATTTAATAAGTCAATGCTTTTCTCCACTACGCTCATGGTTTGTTTATCATTTTGTTGTTGAAAATAGCTATTGGAGCGTTTTTTTGTGGCAAAAAAGTTATTTCATGAAAAAAGATAAGGAAATATCTCGTACTTATTTTAAATAGGAATTTAGTAGCTACATAGTTTGCGATTGATTTAAACAAACTTTGTTGCTAAAATCACTTGTAAAGCTTTATTACATAAATTAACCATGGTATATTCCACAGCAGAAAGAGTTGAAACTATCGAAATATTTTTCGGAAATAATGAGTGCGCTAATAGAACAGCAGAAATATTTAATGAGCGACATGAGAACAGTAACGTGCATCGAAAATACGTTCTACAACTTGTAGCAAAATTTCGGGAAACTGGGTCAGTCGACAAAAAAAAAAAAAACGCAACATTGAAAATCCCATAAGGAACGAAGCAATGGGGGTTTTAGGGCAAGTTTATGTAGATCTTACGTTAAGTACCCGCAAATTGGAGACTGTGTGTGGTGTTACTCGACGTACTGTCCAACGAATTCTAACGGCCCATAGTTTTCATCCGTAGAAAATTCACCTGGTACAAGAACTTAACGAAGACGATTTTGATCGGCGATTACAATTTTGTGAAGATATGAGTGAACGAATTATAAACGATAAACATTTTCTATTCAACACTTGCTTTTCCGACGCATGTTCCTTTTTTTAAGGGGCGTAGTAAATCGTCATAACTGCCGATATTGGTCCCATTCTAATCCCAGAATTTATCATGATGTTCATACACAGCAGCCACAAAAATTAAATGTTCGGGTTTTTATTTTTGGCAATCATTTAGTTGGTCCTTTTTTCTTACCTGGAAATTTGAACGGTGAAATGTATTTGGAATTACTGGAAGACGCCATAGATCCTGCATTAACAGCCATAATTGAAAATCAGAATGATCGGCGGTACATTGCGAATAGGTTGATGTTCCAATAAGATGGTGCCCCACCACATTACGCATTACGTGTTCGACAATATTTAGATCAGACGTTTCCAGATCGATGGATTGGTAGAAGAGGTGCCATTGAATGGCCCCCAAGATCGCCAGAATTATCACCTTTGGATTTCATTTAAAAAGCAAAATCTATGCTACTCAGCTAACATCATTAGAAGACCTGCGACAAAGAATCGTGAGTGAGTGCCTTCAAATTACTCCTCAAATATCGCAAAATGTGCGGCAACGTTTTGAGCAAAATCTTTATTATTGCATGATGAGTCATGGTGGCCATTTTCAACATTTACTTGCCTAACGGATCAGTTCATTCTTCATTTTTAAATTACTTTGCTGCCAAATGTATTGATCTCCACTAATGATGTATAAGTTTTATTTAAGCTTTAAATCAATAAATCTACAAAACTACTGACCTGAAGTACATTAATTTCATATCATTATAAAGGGAATTGAAAGACCTTTAAAATAAGGTATCACTCGAGCCCCTTTCCATTTAAGATTTTGGGGGTAGTGTCACCCCCGCTTAGGGGGCTGCACGTGCTAACGTGATTTTTTTTGCCAAACTTGTGTCCCCCTCGAAAACAAAATCGACGGGTCTGAGCGTTTTTAAAAAAAAACTGAGCTGCCAGTAAATGCGTCTGTTTCGTTTCGATGCGCCCTGTATATCTGAATTCAATTCGTCGAGTCAGGCTTGAGTTTACATTTTCAGTGCACAAGTGTCTGTTTGGTCACTGACGTACACCTTTAAATATCATCGTAAAAAAATTCCAATGGTGCTTAACGTCCCAATCTATGAGGCCAACAGTGATCATCGAAATGACACAATTTTTATGAAACCATTTAAGACAAGCTATCCACATTAATATTGACCACTTAAGGCAAGAAAAACCCCACATACACTCGTGCATTGGAGAAGGGCATCTAAAGGAAAAAAGATGTGTTTTACATTCAATATAAATCCAGCCTCAATTTTGACACACTATAAATTTAAACATCAAATAAACTACTAATCGTACTCACGTTCAGCTTTTTTCATGCAAAAATATTTACCCAGGCCGCATATTGGAGTTGATTTATTTCCTGAAAAAGATACAAGTATTATACAAATCACTTTCTAGTGTCCCTTTAGAGGAGAGATGTGATAACTTTGATCTATAGGTTGGTACGGATTCCGGAGAATGGGAAAAGTATGAGCATAATAAAGTCCATAGCACATAGAGCACGTGAGTACGACTCGAACCCCTACGGCGATTGTAATAATAACGGTATAAAATCTAATGAGTGAAACTTCACGAGCTCATTTGTAAAGTGCGTAGGGCTCCCAAATTAAAAATAAGACAAGAAGAATTTGAGATAAAATTGCCTCAAACGGCTTATCAATTTTTTTAAAGTTACCAGATTTTTATGGTAATAATAAAGTTGTCGACAAAGACTTAGGACTTTGATTGCTTTGCATTTGGTTACTATTTTTGTTATCTGTGATGGGGGCAACTGCTCTCGCTCCTGCCCTCTTCCCTTAACGACGCCTTTGTTCCAAGTTCATTACGTGGAAAATGTAGGGATGCGGTATTAGAAGTATCTCTATATGAGGAAGGATTATAACCCTTACACGATTTCATACATATCCATGATAGGAGAAACTAAAACATGCGGTTTGTGTTTTACATTAGATTTTGTAATCTAATTAAATATATTAAATTTAAGGTAACTACACCTACATATCATATCAAGTACAATTAATAGATAAACACAATTATTATATATTTGGTACTCAGGTCAAGGAGTTACAAAAATCCTTTGGTTTTGGCTTGTATTCTCCGTTCTCTTCAAAATACTGAGTTAGGTTAGAGATATTAGAGAGCTTCTAGTACAACAAAAAATACGAAAGGTCAAGCTTTCCGATATATAATTTTGAAAATGGTAGCAATTAAGGATGATCAAAAAAACAAAAGCTATTATGTAATTTAATAGTACTGATTACTGACTGACATGACAGGTTGCTGACAAAAATAAAATCTAAACCTTGTCAAATGTTTTCAGAGAAATAATGTTTCGGCAATATTTGTGTCAAAACAAGACAAGAAATGGAGAGGTTCAGAAACATAGAACCACAGAACGACAAGAGACTGCAAAGCCAGCAGAACTACAATAAAAGGTCAACTTGCGACATTGCATATATAAAATTTCTTACATTTATTTTTATCTGTGAACTTACACTCATATTTCCATTATATTTTAACTAATATGTGTTTATAACTTGATTTTTTAAATGATTGCCTGAATTCTACAATAAATTAAAATAACAAAGATGATAATAATAGTAATCTATGTATATAAAAATGAATCCCCATTTCGCGTGGTCACGCCATAATTTGAGAACGGCTTTACCGACTCCATTCATATTTTTTTTTAAGTTTCCTAATGCTGTATGGAAGGTTCTTACGGAAAGAAAAATAAAGAAAATCGCGCAGAAAATTAGGATATCACTGGAAACCTAATGATTATTTAAGCTACGAGCAGTTGACATTTTCCTTGAGTTCGCACAGCAGAAGAGATATCTCGAGTACCAAAAGTGACAGGCGCTTGATTCCCACAGCAATTAACAGTTAGCTATGTGAGAAAAAATTGCTTATGAAAACACTGTGCTTTGATTTCGGACTTAAATTTGTTTACCATCCGTACATTGTGATGCCCTTCAAAAAAAAACTGCAGTGTTGCCTAATTGTTATCTTTGTCAGTTAACTCTATGAATGAAAATGACGGATGAAAATTTGCTTCTTTTGCTTAATTGACTTTCACTACTCTAACATTCTGAACTCGACAACTCGCACGCCGCAAATTTATATTATCGTTTAACAGTGTTTATCGATGAAAAAATATTGTTTTATTTAATTAGTAATGCACAGTCCATTCGATTAGAGTTTTTATTCAGTTTTCAGTTTGTTCAGTGAGTTTTTTGAGAAGCATTTGTCCTAAAATAATTAACAAGGGTGGAAGTTAGTTCACCGCAATCACGCCTTATATTGAAATTGTGATTCTTTAAAATGCCACCAATTAGAAGTACGAACCGAGGTCGCAGAATTCGGAATGCTGCAAGTCAAAGATATACAGGGTTATCCAAATTAAGTGTCCACCATTAGTAACTTTGTTATTAGTGAAAATACAAAGTTGTTTGAATTAGCAAACTAGTAGCATTTTTAACGCTGGTAAAAATGAGAAATAAAAAAAACAATTGAGAGTCGTTATTTTGATTTTTTTCAGTAAAATAACATTTTTTTAAATGGAAACCCCTGTATATTATATTTTTTTCTGTTAAAGCATCAAATTTTAAACAAGAAAGCTTACAATAACTTTTCTCCTAGGTTACAAATTGTTGAAGTTATGGCCTCCAATCTGAAACAATTAAATTGTATCGACAAACTTTATTTTCAACATCAACTTATAATCTTACAAAATACAATAACAATTTTTTTTAAAGAAGATGCTCGAAAACACCACCTTGTTCTTCAATACATTTTTGGGCACGTTTTTCAACTGCTCGAACTGTCTTAAGTATGGTCCTACCATCTATCTGGGTTATCTTTTCCCTAACTACAGTCTTTAACGCGTCAAGGTTATCGTACCTTCGCTTGTAAATTTGGTTCTTTAAGTAACCCCACAAGAAGTAATCAAGTGGGTTTAGATCTGGTGATCTGGGAGGCCACTGTATTGGGCCATTTGTACCTATCCACTGATCATTAAAAGTAGTACTTAGAAAATGATAAGTACCTCTGGAGTTGTGGGCAGGTGCGCCATCTTGCTGAAAATGCAGATGATGTCTACTTATAAGATCCAATTCGTCTAAGAAATTAGTCAGAATTTCTGACATAAATTCCACATATCTTTCACCAGTTAACGTTCCCTCATAAAAGAACGGGCCAACAATTTTTGAACCAATTATACCGCACCAAACGTTGAAACTGAAACGGACTTGTGGGCCTCTTGGATGTACTAACAAAAGATTTTCTCTTGACCAATAATGGTGGTTTTTTCTATTAAACATTCCAGAATTTGAAAAATTTGATTCATCTGTCCATAAAAGGTAACGAAAGTTATTTACATTTTGGCGACAGAAGCTAAGATACCAATGGCAAAAAACTTCTCTCTGGATCCCCTGCCAAAAGCGTTTGAACTGGTCGGTACTTATACGGAATAAATTTGTATTTTTTTAAAATCCTTTGAACAGTACCATAACTGAAATTAGAGTCCTTGAGAATATCTGCTATTGAATTCTCACGATAAGCTTCAAAATATCCAATAACTGCAATTTCCGTGGCCTCGCTTATTATGAATTCTTTTTTTGCCCTTGTTTTAGCAAAAACATTTTCGTTGCCCCTAAATTTTCGATAAAGTCTCAGAAAATATCGTTCATACGGTTGAATGCGAGCGGGATATAATTCACTGTAGTATTCTCTTGCTCTCAAGGAGGATTTTCTGCACACTAAATAGCATTCTAACATATCACACTTTTCTTCATGGGAGAACATTTTTCTTTAAATTAATGACACAATAAAGCTTATAAACAAGTATTTACACTAATGTTTGACATTATTTGATTTTATCATTGTTTTCCAAAGCCTTCTAGTTGCGAGTATGTCCAGTTTAACAATTTGTCGCTTATCTTAATGCTGTCAAATCGTGAACGCCATGTTGTTTTCATAGCCGTCTTAATATTATAATACTGCAAATAATTAAAAATATTTATCGTTATTTTGACTTTATTTTTGACTTTAGCGGAAAAGTCATTATGAACTTTTTTGTTTAAAATTTGATGCTTTAACAGAAAAAAATATAATATACAGGGGTTTCCATTTAAAAAAATGTTATTTTACTGAAAAAAATCAAAATAACGACTCTCAATTGTTTTTTTTTATTTCTCATTTTTACCAGCGTTAAAAATGCTACTAGTTTGCTAATTCAAACAACTTTGTATTTTCACTAATAACAAAGTTACTAATGGTGGACACTTCATTTGGATAACCCTGTATACGAAGAAGAAAAACAAGAAGCGAGAAATTTGAACGCGATCGAAGGACTAAAATTCAACAACTTAGAAGTGTCCCATTTAATCCCAATTCAATTAGGACGTGTCAGTCGATTACAGTTCACAACAAATCGTTGCTATTATACCAATGAACGTTGGGAGTCCACATTGCACGGCTTTCAAGTTTAAAAATGGAGCCCTGTATTACCTATGTTGCGTTAGTCTGACATTTTTTTATTCATATCAAGCTATACAATAATTGCTTTCAAATGTCGTCGTTTGGTGCAACAAAGTTCATTCGACATAATTTTATGCTAATTTCAAGGAAAGTTGATGGGGAAATGGCAGTGGTGCTAACGTATTTTGGTAGCCACATGGCGGTACAAACACTTCGCTGTGCAATTACGTACATTCCATATATTTACGTTTTTACTCTCCATTATTCATCCCAGTTCATAGCCATGACAGGACAACGTCTGTCGGGTCAGCTAGTAATATTAATAGAACAAAACAGACCTGACATAATCATTGTCGACAAGAGCGCCCAGAAAGTAACACTGATTGATGTAGCTATATCTAACAGTAACAATTTAACATGAGCTAGAATTTCAAATTAAACGCTAGTGCAGAATTAAGTACGTCGAGACAATACTTGTACCAATAGTAATGTCAACTACAGGGGTTATACCAAGAAGTCTGCTGGATAACGCTGGAACAGAGTGAAAACATTTACAAAATCTTGCGGAAAGGAGTTTTGTTGGCAACGGCCCGCATAATCTGAAAATTTGTGGGAGACACAAGAACTTAGTGAGGTCACTAATGAGGCTTATCCCTTTGATGCGTGAAACGTCCGGGTTAAGCCAGAACATCCCGATTAACGGAAGTGACAAATAATAATAATAATAAAATAATATTATATAATAATAATTGATCTTTTCCTCTTTTGGGCTGGTATAGAGGCCTGCGATAAATATTATGAGCACACTCCAGAAAATAATAAAGTTGTAAACAATGAGGATGTTCGAATCACGTGGGATGTACCCATCATCACTGATAGAAGCATACCTGCGAACTGCCCGGACATAGTGTACCTTGATAAAAGAACGCAAACCTGCTTGCTAGTAGATGTACCGGTTCCTAACAATTCGAACATAATGCTGAAGGAAGCAGGAAAGTTAGGCAAGTATAAAGACCTGGAAATAGAAGCAAGCAGAATGTGGAACGACCCGAACAGTTCCAGTCATTGTAGAAGCCCTAGGGACACTTAGAAAAGGGATACAGACCAACTTGTCACAACCCTCAGGACAACCATCTCTTGCTGAAGTGCAGAAAATGGTACTACTGGGCACTGCTCACATTATCCGCAAGGTATTAGGGTGAATCGCTTTGATCTCGGGTAGAGATCTAGATTCGCTTAAAAATTCCACAATAGAGCAAGAGGAAAACACTGAAATGATAATGATAATAATAATAATAATAATAGTAATAATGACAATAATGAAAAACTGTCGAAGCAAGGATCTACCGACGAATACTTGAGAAGACTAAGGATCATTCTTCAATCTGAATACTCTGCTAGAAATACATCTGTTGCAGTGAATGCCTATGAAGCGTCAACGCTTACCTACACCTTCGGAATACTCAAATGGACTGATACTGAACTGAAAGTCCTAGATATAAGTACCAGGAAGGAATTCCGTCTGTATAGGGTACATCATCCCAAAAGTGCAACAGTGCGCTTCCACTTAACACGGCGCGAAAGAGCAAGAGGAATCCCCAGTATGGTGTCCAGACATTACCAACAAGTTGATAATCTAAGGATATACTTCTTGGAAAAGACGAGAAGTAACATAATGCATCAGACACTAGCTGACAGGGATGAGGGCGTTACCCCACTGAACCTAGCCAATCTAGCTCTCAATCCATCCGCGATGGTGTCGTCGCCCCCCGAACTGGTCGAGAAGTGGAAATCCAAGCCACTACCTGGAAGCTATAGAACGCGAATTGAAGACCAGGCAGTAGACACCAAACCATCCCAAGAGTGGGTGCGTTCCAATAATCTGTTCGTGGAGACAGAGGGGTTTGTGATGGCTATTCATGACCAAGTGCTGCCTACGGAAGTCTACAGAAAGCGAATAATGGGAGAAAATATAGAAAATATCAAATGTAGGATCAGTGGAGATGAAGACGAGAACCTAGACCACATTATCGCAAGCTGTTCCACACTCGCCCCAAAACAGTGTCTAGAAAGACACAACGACGTGGTAAAAATAATCTACTTGGAACTGGACAAGCGCTATCTCAATGAAGAACCTACTGAGCCATACTATCGCTACACGCCTCTCCCAGATAGAGAGAGACTAGGTGACATAAAATGTATTGGAACAGGAAAATAATTACAGACCGCACTTATACCAAATAACATCCCTGACATAGTGCTAACGTTAAAAGAACAAAAGATAACATACATTATAGATATCGCGGTTCCGCTCCCTGTCAACCTTCAAAGTACCTACTCAGAAAACATCAACAAGTATCTATCGCTGTCAGAAAAAATAAAGCGAATGTAGGAAATGAATACAGTTATGATTGTACCGATGGTTTTCGGCGCCACGGGTGAGGTCCTTAAGAAGATACACACAAGTCTTGAAAAGCTAGACCTTGGCCAACATGTTTACAAATAAATTCAGAAATCCGCTTTACCGGGGACATACGGAACAGTCCGTAGAGTCCTGGCAGGCGAAAACTCGATATTGTAACCTGGAAAGTTAGTAGTTGCCTTCAAAATGCTTACATCCTTTGGTGCAAGCCTGGATTAAGCATAGCAAACCCTCTCAGAGGAGATGATTGAATGAACAATAATAATAATAATGATAATAATAAATGGCCTTTATTTGTCGCATCTTTTCAAGGTAATAGACTTAATAAGAAAAAGAAAGAAAAACAAAGTGAGAAAAAGTCGAGTGACAGTTTAGGCTGTTTTTAACCCTAACTAAGGAAATAGGCACAATTGATAAACTACTACCCATATAGAAAAAAAAAATAGCATAACACCAGCAAGAGGGAACCGCGATTGTTTACTGCCACATGTATGACTTGCCTGTTTGTGATATTGACTTAAATAAATAAATAAAGATAAAGGAGCTGAAATACTCACGCGGCATGTGAAAGTTTACACATCCACATATTTCCAATGTGTAGTTTGTAATACATTCCAATCTACAGTTCTCCGGACTGTACTGTTTGAAATACAACAGTACCTTTTCATTAGTGAAATAGCATTCTCGTATGTCTGGATGGTATTTCCTCACTTCGTCTGGAGTTTTGATCAAATTTGGTTGCACTGTAGCTATCACGGCGTCTCCAAAAGCTACTTTGATGTGATGTTTCTTCATTTGAGGGACCACATGAGGCGCATGCAATAGAATCTGAGATAAAATTAGAAGTAGAAAATATACCGAGTGGTCCGTAGTGAATGCAAAACAAACGTGAAAATAGGAGCTGCAAAACGAGACCCACATTTTCGTGAGATCCGTTAATCCTACAAGTTTTAAAATGAGCTCCAAATCTGCGTAAAAGCGCGAAAATTCTTCAAAGGATATCTACTTCATAATTCTTGGTACCCTTCTTCATTTACTTATTTATACAGATTCCTTGATATGTATAATAGATAATTTATTTTTAATCTATGATGAATCTGACTAGATCGAAAGTTCGTCATTTCCGGGTTATTCAATTGGTATACAATAACACTGAGTCATATTTGCAAATGACCTTTGAGGGCTTAGTGCCGCTTGAGGGTTGACCTATCCTTGGAAACAATGCAGCAATAACGCTACTTAAGCTATGTAAAATAGTCCATACTTTCTGAATTTAAAACAAAGAACTGCTTCTTACTGGATGGTGATATATTTCTGGACAATTAGACAAATTAATATAACTGGTCGAGCTTGATCCCATATATAATAAGTTCACGATCATTGAAAATAAAAAATATCGAAATTTGTTAGGGTTACAAAATTCGGACGTTTTTATTTTGATTCAAAATGTCAATTATCAGCATGCAGTTTTCCAACTTTTTCGATAACTCAGATTTGTCAGGGTACAGTTATAATACACATCACTCAGCGAAATGCAATTTTTCCAAATATATAGGGTGTTTCAGTTTATTGTTGCACAATTTTAAGATTCGAAAGAACTTTTAAAATTAATCCATAAAGCCTATATAAACATGGGTCGAAAAATGCGTGGCTTCCGAAATACTGGGAGTTTAAATTTACTTTCTAAAATAGTTTTTATTTAAATATTTCGAACAATATTTGATGTATAACAGTGAAAATTGGTATACAAGGGTTTTTTGGTACGACAAAACGAACCATGGGCATAGTCTTACTATAGCCGCTAGTGGGCGCTCTCTACTGAACCTGTAGTGTATTAAAATGTCCGAAAAATTTTTCTTAGTGCAATTTTTTGCTTTTTGAATAAAAAATTGATTCTTCGCACTTTTCAGCATAAAAAAGCTCTCTTGTGAATTTTCGTTATAGTTAGCCGTTTTCGAGATATTTCGATTTTTAAGGTTCGATGCATTTTTAATTATTTATGGGAAAATAATATTTTTTTTATTTTCGATTTGGGCATCACAAGTAATTAAGATGATCGTTTAGATTGTGTTTTTAGACACAGAAATAATTCCTAACTCCAAATAAACACAAAAAACAGAATATTAATTTGTTTAATTGTCCAATATTTTAACAAATTAAATTAATTATTTACAACTAAAATGCTATTGGATAGTTAGGACAAACATACAAAATCTAAACAATTTACATCTACGAATGATCGAACGTGGTATAGCATTATTCAAATAAGGCCTTATTTCATCACATGCATTCCTGATTCTGTCTATTAGCATATCTCTTGTGGTTACGGGAGTCTGGTACACTGTTTATTTTAGAAATCCCCACACAAAGAAGTCTAATGGATTTAGGTCATGGGATCGTGGAGACCAGGCGACTGGTCCTCCACGGCCGATCCATCTTTCTGGATAATTTTCATCCAGCCAGTTTCTAACTATTCTCGAATAATGAGCTGGACAAGCATCAAGCTGGAACCAGGCCAATTTTCTTAAATCTAACATAACATCATCCCACATATTTGCATGTTCAGCCTTTAAAAATTCCAAGAAGGTCGCAGCATTTAACCTTGCAGGCAAAAGGTAGGGTCCAAATAGTCGATTACGGTAGATACCAATCCACACGTTCACACTAAATTCATGCTGAAAATTTCTTTCCCGAACTTCATGCGGATTTTCATGCGACCAAATATCTTGATTATGAAAATTTACCAATCCACGTCTAGTGAAGCATGACTCATCGGTCCATAAAACGTTACTTAAAAACTCCCTATTATTATCAGTTCTATCAAGAATCCACTGACAAAATGTGATTCTTCGTTCTCCGTCCCCTGGCTGTAGCCCTGGCACAGGTTGCAAATGGTAAGGACGTCTATGGTCATTTCTAAGAACACGGTGAACATGGCTTGCTGAAATTCCCAAGGCACCAGAAACTCTCCTAACACTTGTGGTCGGATCTCTATCAAACTCACGCAGAATCATACGGGTAAATCTGCGCTGACGAACATTTATGTTTTGATCCCTTTGGAGATTTCCAAAACCATTTTCAATTATTTGGCGATGCACTCTTACAAATACTGAGCGAGTTGGATGTCGTCTGTTTGGAAATCTTCGTGCGTATTCTCTGGCTGCTTCTGCTGCGTTTCCATTTACAAAGCCATACACAAAACGAATATCCGCTAACTCTTGATTGGAGAATAAAAATGGCATTTTTATAAAACTTACAAAAAAAAACAGGTAAAAGAAACTAAATTTCGTGCATTCACAATTGCAAAAAAACGTTTCAGGTTTCAACAGACAACAAAATCAACTGTCAACTAATTGAAGTTTAACCTTATTCTGCTTTCAATTTCAAAAATATTTGCAGGCACAGCATACTTCTAAAAATTATCGATATACTGACTTTTTAACGTTATTTTATCATAAATAATTAAAAATGCATCGAACCTTAAAAATCGAAATATCTCAAAAACGGCTAACTATAACGAAAATTCACAAGACAGCTTTTTTATGTTGAAAAGTGCGAAGAATCATTTTTTTTATTCAAAAAGCAAAAAATTGCACTAAGAAAATTTTTTCGGTCATTTTAATTCACTACAAGTACAGAAGAGAGGGCCCTCTAGCGGCTACAGTAAAACTATGCCCATGGTTCGTTTTGTCGTACCAAAAAACCTTTGTATACCAATCCTCACTGTTATACATCAAATATTGTTCTAAATATTTAAAAAAAAACTATTTTAGAAAGTAAATTTAAACACCCTGTATTTCGGAAGCCACGCATTTTTCGACTCATGTTTATATAGACTTTATGCATTAATTTTAAAAGTTCTAACGAATCTTAAAGTTATGCAACAATAAACTGAAACACCCTGTATATATATATATATATATATATATATATATATACTAAGTGACATATAAATCCGAACACCCAGTTTAAGTGGTTTTATTTTAATAAAGGGGGGGGATAGTCGGGAGATCTTGGTGTCCATGGTAACAATGTGACATCATTATGTTGAAAGAAGTCTATTGTGACTCTTGCATCGTGTGGTCGGGCATTATCTTGTTGGAAAGTTGGATCTGCCAGGGTGTCAAGATAGGGTAAAAGACGGGGTTCTAGAACTTCGTGGATATAACGCTGCGCGTTCATGTTACCTCTGATGAAGATTAAAGGTGACCTGGAACCATAAGCTATAGCACCCCAAACAATAACTCCAACAGTGTGATGAACATGTCTTTCAATAAAAAACTGTGGATTCCTCCTTTCACCACGTCGCCTTCTAACCCTGGCACGACTATCGTGCATGCCTAAACAAAATCGAGACTCGTCACTAAAGGCAATACTGTACCATTCCTGATCCCAGAGTGACCGTTGTCTGCACCACTCAAGGCAATTACGTCGGTGTTCTCGAGTTAAAGGAAGGACCCAGTGTGGCCGGTATGAAAACAAGCCAAAACTTCTCATTCGTCGGTAAACACTTCGCATGTCTTCCGTGTTCTGCAAACCATTCATTTGCAATGGACCTGGTAGTGGAGAAATGGTCCTCTAAGACCAATAATCTTAGGCGGCGATCTTTACGGTCTGTTGTTCTACGGCGGCGTCCAGTGTCCCTTGCTCTTTGCGTACGGCCTTCTCGAAGCCATGCCTGACAACACCTAACCACAGTGTCTACACTTCTTTGCACTCTAACTGCAATTGCCCGAAAAGAAGGTCCAGCTTTTCGAAGTCCCACTATAAGGCCCCTATCAAACTCACTAAGTTGACGAAATCGTACAGGTCTCCGTACTCTAGGCATCGTAACCGATCGTAAAGGATGTCAAGAACCAAAATCCGCCAACGTTGATTCTTTACTGCGGCTGAAATAGCCATTTTTAGAGCGTTAGTGAATTAAAAAAAAAAGCAGTATAAAAACCGGGATTTCCAACTGATAAGGCTGAAAATTTGAAAATTTTTTCACTTGTTATTTACAGTAATATAAATACATTCACCAACTTTTATTAAAATAAAACCATTTAAACTGTGTGTTCAGATTTATATGTCACTTAGTATATTTGAATTCAAGAATTTTTTACATATCGATTTATCTTGCCATGAGCAACAGGGTTTTCTGTTAAGTTTTTGTGGTGGCTGCGTGTATTGTTTGTTGATAAAGAAGCATTCAGTTTTCTTACATTTACGGTGCAGTTAAATGTTACATTTCGTGTAGGTTATTGAGAAGCCCTTTTGTGATTGCTCAAAATGCCTAGAGTGCGAAGAATTTGACCGAGAGTGTCTCCCTCATCACACCGTGGGAGTTATGGTATGGGGTGCTATAGCTTAGCAAGCAATGTAACAGCCCGACTCTATATTCAGGAAGAAGTGGAGCCTCATGTTATCCATTCCCAAACACCATCCAAATCCCGATTTTTTATCAAGACAATGCCAGAGCATCGTTAGCCTTCATGAATCAACATCACATCAACCGTTTAGCTTGGCCACCACGATCGCCTGACCTATCTCCAATTGAACATGTCTGGGACACAGGCTCTTGAATTTGCAACACCCTCCACAGACTCTAGCAGCTCTTACTCACGAAGTTGCAATAGCCTGGAATGCGATACCCCAACAGGATACAGACCACCTTATCAGCACGATGCCCAGGCGTGTCAATGAGTGTATAAGAAATCGTGGATCCTCAACACATTAGTGAACCAGCTCAGCAGTCATTGAGTATAACTCATTAAAGCTGGTCAAATACTTTTACCTGAACTAATTAATGAAATCTAATCAATATAATTAAACTGTTTTGCTTGTAGCAGGTGGATTCATTTTGATAGTTCATTTTATAATAAATTGATGTAGTCAATCTAGGCAAACGTAATAAATGTAATTGACTGTGTTTTGATTCAATTAAAATAGTTTCATACATTCAAGTAAACTAGTTTCGGAGCTTAATTAAACTAATAAATCTTGTTAACTGTCACATAGTTAATTACATTTTTTAATTGGCTTAAAATTTTAATTCGTTTGATTATCTTTTCAGTGGATCAGTCCAGTATGGAAAGAGTTAAGTACTGGCTCCTCTATTATGGAATTGACGACTTGGCATGTAGGGAGATCTTTGGCACAAAGCTACATCCATGTCATAGACGAAAAAGTAATGGAACCTTTGATTATTTTTTTATTGATCTTTAAAATGTGGTAATTCCTAGGCAATAATGAGTAGGCTTCCCTAGCAACACATAGACAAAATCCGTTCCGACCCTGCCTCCCTCCCTTCTACGTCAACGGATATGATGCTCTGTGATGCTATATCTTTGTGAGTCAGTATCCAAATCATGTGCCGCACGGTGAGCAGGTTATAAACAAACCACATTTGAAAATTTTTAACATCTTCAAGATTCTATTGATACTCCGCGAGTGCCAAGGCTTGTTGATATCGTGCAAAGGCCATCTGGGTAGACACAGTAATATACCTAGGAAGCCACAAATGTTGCAAATTTAGGAAAAGTAAACAAACTTGTGTTTTTGAATCGAACAGCGATGATTTCAAGTAGTACTTCAAAATTTCTTTTTAACGTTTTCGGTGTGATTTTGCTGCAAATTAACTATGTTATTTCAAACGTAGTTATTTCGGAAAAGGAAAGTCAAAGCTTTCATAGTACTCTGCATAATCTTATTCCATGGGTATGGGATAGGATGATTCCGTGGAATTGAATCAGCTAAGTAATTGCGATTTCTATGTGAAAATATTGATAGCCGAACATGCCTTCATAACCCATAAGCGTTTGCGCCAAAATTCATTGAAGCATTAGGTACTTACGCTGAATCCTTGTATGCTGTCTAAGCACAAGTAGTCTAGTTCACTAGATGACTGCTGAAATTCTATGTGCAAACCGTTGTCATATCCGGGTAGGTATGCCCTATAAGGGTACGCGTAAATACTTCTATTCGTATAGCCTTGATCAATGGTCCAAGATAAATTCCATTGAGTTTGTGGATTGAAGAAATCCTTTGGAAAAAACCTAAAAATATATCGAATGTCCCTACTTCATAAGTCATAAGAAGTCGCAGCCATGTAACGTCTTCGGTAGTGGCAAGAACACGAAAACTTTATCTACGATCAGACAGTATGAACATGATTTTCTTGGATTAACTCCTAGAGAGCATTTTATGCACTTGGGCGGCAGACTCAACTAACATTACACCCATTACCTTTATCTCAATCTTTTCTTATGTTTTTCAAGGCTCTTCAGCTGTCACCAGCAGACAGACCGATTTTTCGGTAGAGATACCAATTTTAGTCATACTAAATCTACCGAAAGTTTTTTTAAATTCCTAAATAGTATACCTGATATAATTCAACGAAATACAGGGTGTTCATTGGGAAAGTTCACCGTATACGCGGGGAAGTGGCGAGAGGTCTTGATCGACGCGTTCGGCGTGCGGGTTAAATAGTCACAATGGAACGTTGGACCGCGGCGCAACGTGCTTTTGCTATCGAGGCTTACTTTAAGAATTGTGATTCGTACGCAGCTGCCCTTCGGAAATCTTGAAGCTATTGAAAAAGTGCATTAAGAGGTTCCGTGAAACAGGCTATACTCTTATTCAACCCATTCCTGGTCCCACGTCTACTGTATCAACTGAAGAAAATGTGCGTCAAGTAAGTAATTCGGTCGGCGTGCTGTACGGATGCATTCCGCTGCTTTGGAAATCCATAGGTCAACATTGCATGGCATAATGAAGAAAAAAACGGGTTTGCATCCTTATAAAATGCAATCAGTTCATGCCTTAAAGGAAAGTGATTACGTATTACGTAAATCTTGTGCTGAACGGATGTTGAATCTTTTTCCGATGCAGGGCAGACTCGAGAATGTTGCTTTCAGTGACGAGGCCCACCTTCACTTTGACGGTTATGTGAACAAGCAAAATTGCAGATATTGGGTACCAACGAACCCAAAAGAGAAACATCAACAACAGCTACATAGTACAAAGATGACTGTTTGCCGCGCCATATCTTCTAGCGGTATTATTGGGCCGTATTTCGTTGAAGATGAAATCGGTCATGCATTGACAGTCAATTCCGGTTGACACTTTTTATTGCTCCTATTGTAAGAGTAGAATGTCGATTTAACAGAAACACATTGTTTTAACAGGATGGGGACACTGGCCATAGTTCCAGAGAATCGATCGACACGGTGAAAGCGCTTGCTCCTCAAAAAGTTTGGAGAGATTCACTGGCCTCCTAGGTCACTCGACCTCACGCCATGCGGTTATTTTTTGTGGGGTGATTTAGAGTAAAAAATGAATTCCAATGATCCACAAACACTGCAGGAGCTTAAAGATATCATTCGACGAGAAATAAACAACATCACTCCGGAACTCTGCAAGAGATTGATTCAGAATTTGCGCGCGCGATAGGAAGAATCCGGAGGGATGGCAAACATTTGGACGGAATACATTTTAAGAAATAAAACCAGCCGAACTTATGGATATGTTGATAGTAATAAATACTTTCTTTTCATTAAGTTTGCATTTTTTTTAAACAAAAAGCGAACCTCCCCACTGGACACCCTGTACAAGCATATAGCACTTTGTCCCATATTACTACCCCATTTGGGTTCTCCCAAAATTCAGTTGCAAAAGACCTTCTTAGACAGAAGGTAATGGGAGAAAATTTTGTAATAACCTTGTCAGCTAGAAACGCTACCAAAACTGTTTCTAATAAAATTGACATAGATACTAGCTGGAACAACTCTGTTACTTGGAAGTTCTTTATCCATTAGAAGAAATATACGAAATGCTTCGATTGCAATATTATCTATATCTACGATCAATCGTTTGGACGGTATTTTTCCTGCGTCACATTTCTCAATAATCTCATCGGAAGAAAAACCATAGACACGACGTACTTGGAAACGCTTCAGCGTCTACCGAAAACAGATCGACTATACCTGATAATGCGAGCCTCGGTAGGGCTGTTACGTAAAAAACCTAAAAAAAAAACCGACAAAAAGCTCAACTGCTGCTTAAAGTGCAAATGGTACATTCCGCGTTTGCTCGCTATGAGTGCTGTGAGCATCCATCTATGAAGGAATGACTCAATGACACGCTCAATACCATGCTGCAAGCTGCAAGTCTGTTCCCCATCATACTTTGTTGTTTGCAGAATGCCGAGAGAGTCTATAGAGTATGCTCTGAAAAGATGTGTGGTTGAGTAACAGAAAAGCAAGATCGGATGTGAATGATTGTCTATGGATCTGCATCTGTATAAAATCAGTAATATTTGATATGTGAGAATATTATCAGTAAATCTGCTATCCACGAAAAATATCTATCAGCTGTAACAGACAGGTTATTTGTATTGTACTTTCTGAAGAGAGGTTATGTTCATAGTTATATATTACGATCTTCCCCGTTTTTTCGCGTATTCAAAAGCATTACGAGAGAGGACAACACATATGTAAGTTTACTTAAGTAACTCGTCTGGCACAGCTAATAGATATACTACATGGCAGCATATTATTATTATTATTATTATTATTATTATTATGATAATTGAGATGAGCAGAGTACACAGTACTATAAGCTCATGCAGTAAATATAGTGTACGGACACGTAACACAAATACATCAAATAGAAAAAAATAAAAAAAGACAGTTCATAGCTATAAAGTTTGTACACTCCTCCAGCTATCATACTGCACTTTGAAGCTATTAACTGAAGTAGCACCAACCACACTTTCAGGTAAACTATTCCAGGTGTTGAATATGCGGTTGGGAAGAAACCACTGTCAGACTGTTGTTTTAAATGGCTCCTTATGCAGTTTGAAGCTGTGTCCGCGTAGATTGTTGCGCGACAGACGGTATAGATGCATGAGGTTGGTGCCCATCAAACCATGAAGTATCCTGAACGTAACTATAAGATCGCCACGAAGTATTCGCTCAGAGAATGAGGTCAGGTTGAATAATTCAAGGCGATCTTCATAGCTTGGTCTTCGTGCTCCAAAAGGGATACGAGTAGCCCAACGCTGTACTGATTCGACGAGATTGCTATCGCGCAGAAGCACAGTGTCCCATACCGGGCCAGCGAATTCAAGAATTGGCCTCACGAATGCCTTGTAAATGTAGGCGCAAGTGTTGACATCGGATCCTTTGAAAGACCTCTCCAGCATGTATAGAAGTTTCTTGGCTTTTGATGTAACGTGGTGAATATGCTCTGACCAGGAAAGACGATCGTTGACTACAACGCCCAGATCAGTGTGGCTGGAACCTGCTTCGATGTTGTGGTCAGAGATCTTGTATGTAAATCGCGGATGTCTTCCCGAGGTGAAGGACACAATACTTAGTTAGATTTAAGGGTAAAAGCCAACTGACTGACCATTGACAAACAATATCAAGATCTCGTTGAAGCATAGCAGAATTTACGACAGTATTGTAAATCTTGGTGTCGTCGGCATAAGCTGAACATGTGGAGGAAATCAATGCGGGCAGGTCACTTGTATACAGAAGGAACAGCACTGGCCCCAAGACAGAGCCTTGAGGAACTCCACTTGCTACATGATGAAGGTGAGACTGGCTATCACTGACGCGTACAGAGAAAGTCCTCCAGGTGAGAAAAGCCTTAATCCACAGTAACAACTCGCCTCTTATTCCCATACATTCCAACTTAAACAGAAGCCTTCTATGTGGTACGCGATCGAAAGCCCTAGAAAAATTTAAGTAGATTATATCAACAGGAGTCTTTGTGTTCAGATACTGAGTCCAATCGTTGAGAGAGTGGAGAAGGTTGGTCATTATTGATCGACCAGGGAGAAATCCATGCTGATTCTTAGGGATCAGGTCATTTTCAAAAGCAAATGACAGGAGCTTATCTAATATGATTCTTTCAGCTATTTTGGCGGCGATAGGAACGAGACTTATTTGTCGATAATTTTTAGCGGAGGTTTTTGAATACAGGGGTAACAGAAGCACTAAGCCAGCATGAGGGTAGGGTATGAGATCTAAAAGACGATGTGAATATCAAGCTTAATGGTAGGGCCAGTGCTGAAGCGCAGTTTTTAAGTACAGCAGCCATCATCCGATCTTTACCAGGGGAGGAAGAGGTGGTCTTCAGATTTCGCAGGTGCATTAATACATCTTCAGGCAGGAACTCAACTTCACAAAGGCTGTTGGGACACCTATGGCGGATAGTGGTCGGTAGAAGGTCTCCATTAGGCTCATCGACGAAGTCATCACTAAAGGACTCTGCCAGTAAGTTGGCAGATTCGGTGGCATCCATGTGGAGATGACCGTCAGCGTCGCGGATCTGAGGTGATGAAGCTTTGGAATTCAGGTTTGTTCTTACATACCGAAACAGCTTCTTATTTTTGGAGGTAACGAGTTTTCGTTCATAAGCATGTTTGGCATTATGTAACGTTCTAGATAGGAGGTTAGAAAAGGATCGATGAGACACGTAATCTTGTGAATGGCCACTCCTCCTAAACCGTTGCCACAAAGATCTCTTGTGACGAAGCATCCTCGATATGTTAGAGTTGATCCAGGGCTTTGAGGGGTCACAGTATACTTCTTTTCAACAGTATTGTCAACCGTTTCGCTTAGGACTCGTTGATCGAAAGTGTCCCACATATCTTGGGTGCTATTCCGTGATAATTTTCTCACATATCCAATATCACTGACTTTATACACATTCAGACCAGTACACACAATCACCATGCAATCATCCACGTGATCTTGCTACTCAGCCAAATTTCTTTCTTTCACATCTTACAGACTATCTCAGAATTCTGCAACCAACAAAGCATGCTGGCGAACTGACTTATCGTTGAGTCATTCTTCCATAGCTGATGCTATAGATGACGCTCACAGCGCTCACAGCGATCAATAGCAGAATGAACTATTTGTACACTAGCAGCTATCTAGTCAGCAAGTTGACAATTTGTCGCTTCTTTCTGACATTATATTGGTTTTTAGTGTAAGAATACTGTTGTTTTCTGACTCACGTCCATGAGTATCCAGCGAATAGCCGGTCGTAGATGAAATTTTGTACGTGTCTTCGGATGTTAGAGCTTACCGACATCAATGACCACTTTGTGTCCTGGATAAATAGATAACTATGAAAGTCTTACACGTCGTCGAAGAAGATATGATGCTTATCCAACATGTTAAAAGTATAACAAATGCCTTCGTCCACAATTATGGGCCAGAAAAACTTTTCACATCGGTCATGCCAGTTGTTAAGGTACCAACAATTATCAGCAAATTCTGAAATGTCGAGCTTCACCTAAAATCAGGAGAGAACTGTTTGTGCTTGCTTTTTTATATTAAAAAAAGCTGGAGAAGTGACAGTGTATAGCATCTTATATTTGTAATTTTTATGATTTTTTTTAGTACCTACGTCACTTTTATTACGTAATTGCAACTGTGCACATTTCTGAATAGCGTAGTACGTATACCATATTCATTTTCGAGGTGCATTGGATCTAAATAATATCTGGCATGATTTCTTTATGGATTACCATTTATCCCACCCACCTGGTGGGCACGTTAATTGATGGTTACACGTACGAGGATGTCTTTTAAGTTTTGCATATAGAAAGGTAGTAGGCCGCACGGATCGAACGTCAGTACTGAATCTTAACCTCGCTCTTTAGTTAACTTAAATTTTCACAAAAATACGTGCAGTGTTCTCACTACAGTGAATTTTTAAGTGTCACCAAGTCATTAGAAAAATGTAAGTCAACCGAGTTGGTATGGAGAATTCAAGCGTGGACGGGTGAGTCTTAGCGACGATCCCAGGGTGGGTGCACCAAAAACGGCAGTCACCCAGGAAAACGTCAATGCTGTGCGCAAACTCATCCTTGAAGATAGACATGTGACATATCGCGAGATTCAGGCGTCCTTGGAGATCTCAAAGACCTCAATTCTAAAAATTTTACAAGAGCAAGAAAATTAGTTTCTCGTTGTATACCCCACCTGTTGACTGAAGAGCAGAAAGCAGCCAGGGTTAATTGGTGTCAAAAAACGCTTGACCGTTTCAATTCCGGAAACTCAAAAAGTGTGTACAGCACTGTTAGTGGTGATGAATCGTGGATTTACTGTTATGAACCAGAAAATAAACGACAGTCGGCTGTTCGGGTGTTCCAAGGTGAAGAAAAGCCAACAAAAGTCATCCGTTCTCGAAGTGTTTCGAAAAAGATGGTCGCGACATTTGTGTCAAAAGCGGGTCATATTGCAACAATTTCTCTTAATGAGCAAAGAACTGTTACTGCGGATCGGTATACCATTTGTTTGCCAAAAGACATCACCGAGCTTCGAAAAATCAACCCCAAAAGAAGAATCATCCTCCACCAAGACAATGCAAGCTCGCACACAGCCCAAAAAACAAGGCAGTATTTAAGGGAAGAAGACGTGGAATTATTGGACCATCCTCCATATAGTCCCGATCAAAGTCCTAACGATTTCTTTACTTTCCTGAAACTTAAAAACAGAGTGCGTGGTCAAAGATTCCAGTCACCAGAAGAAGCAGTTGACGCATTCAAAAATGCCGTTTTGGATCTGCCAGCAAACGAGTGGGATAAGTGCTTCGAAAATTGGTTTCAGCGCAATCAAATGTGTATTAATCTTCGTGGAGAATACTTCGAAAAACAATAAAGTCATTTAAAACTACCTACCGTGTTGTTCTATTTCCATATGCAAAACTTAAAAGACGTTTTTCTCAAGAAATCATTATTTTTACTTACCACGCCTACTAAAGAAGAAGTAGTGCAAGCGGGAAGTATTACGAAAAGAAATATGTTTTTTGGTTGTTTGATATCACAAGACACCATGTTACTCATGTCCGTCGGTCTAGCTGTCGGCCCGTCTGTCAATCTGTCTATCGATATGTCTCGCGATATGTCTCTCGATCTGTTTGTCCGCTAATCCTTGGTACGACTAGAATTTGGAAGGTACTGGTCGGATATTGGTAACATTTTCGCACAAGGTTACTAATATGCTCAAGACGTGGCTTTTGGAAATATGTCTAGCGGCAGCGGAGATAAAAAGGCCAAAAACAAGAAATTAGAAATTGCTGAAGCTTTGACGTTTCTGCGACTTCTGATAATCTTTAGATTGTAAGCGTTAAAACTTCAAACCTCAAAAGTATTGACAGAAGATTCTGGTGTACCTGTCACGGGTCTTCTTTATTCATGCATCAAGGCCCACCTGCGTGTGACTGCATCGCTGGGGTTCTCGATCTCGAGCTATAGCAGCGTTGCTACAGTCGTCGCGTGAAATAATACATAACACATAGTGGCGTAGCATGGACTTACCTATTCAGAAGAGCTGCGGTTATGGTTCTACGATTTATATTCATAAAGATGTCCATGTCAGAGGTAGGGAAATGGGGTTCGCGTGCCCTTGTCTAAGGAGTAACGTATGCCCTAGAGGTTTTTGCCACCATACTTATAGAATTTTTTTAATGAAGAAATTTGTTTAAACACTACCTAGTTATCATAAATTATAACTCAATACTTAACTAAACTATACGATCGATTTATCTGGAGTGGCCCATTCTGCTGGTTTGACGCAATTAGATTTGAAGAATAAGCAACTCATTGGAGAGGCGGTGGAGAGGGGAGTAGACATGTTTGAACGTGAACGAAACGATCGACTTTCTGAAAATTCTCGTACATCAAACTATCATTGTACGCGCAGTATGTCACACCGTACTGTATTTCCAATTACCATACGAAAACCAGTTATATGAGTAGTATTAAGGCTGGCGCCGATGGCATGGTTGACTGGTGTAGTCCAACATCGTTGTCAGATACTAGACACTTTCGGTAGGACAGAAAATAAATAGCGTTATCAAATGAGTGGTGACTATGGGCTAATTGTGCTTGTTGTTAGGGCAAATAAATAGATTATCCATACCGTTTATAGGCCCAGAGGCCTTGGAGGTACCAAAAGAACCAAGTCAAAGAATGGGTACTAACACAGCACAAGGAATATTGGCACAATGACTGAATGCAGGCATAGGAAAGAATTAATCGGAGAACCATGTCCAAAAAAGGCTGCGGAACTGTTCTCAATGAGCAGGAACCAACTCCTTGTAGTTACAGGACTTCCAGCAGGATAAAATGGCCTGAAAGAACACCTACACAAAATGGGGCTACAGACAATGCGGAAATGGAGCAGAAACAGCCCGACATGCCTTATATGAGTGCGATGCGCCGGATCACAGAAGACATCAACTCTTTGGGGAAAATAAACTATAGCCGAGGGAGCTTAGAACAATACCGGCAGGGTAACTGTACCAACCAAGAATGGCTGAAAAACAACGTTTCGAACTTCATTTTGACCATACAATGGCTCTCGAATTCACCCGACGCGAATCCAATGGAATTATTCTATCTGGGCCATTTTTTAGAGCAAGGTCCGAGCTACGAAATACACCAGCCTCGAGACACCGAAGAAAGCCATTGTCCGTTATTGGGCCAAAATATCGTCAAGTCACCTTCGGACAGCTTGCGATTCGTTTTTGGACCGTCTCAATGCTATAGTCAAGGCAAAAGGTGGTCATATTGAGCCAAAGTGAACCATATCTGCATTTTCGAATATTTTCACACATTCCTTACTTTGGAATAAGTAAAAATCATTTTACAAACCGAATTTATGGCATTTTGAGTGCCGGACCCTGTAGAGGCCTGGCTCATACGGCGCGCGCCGGATCGTGTTACATATTATGTTCGTAGCTAAGTTTTTCCTCAGAGGGGCTGACATGCGTCGAGCCGTATCATTTACGGACTAACTTATGACAACATTTCGTGGAAAGCATTGATTCAAAATACGTGACGTCATTTTTACTACTGGACACGGCCATTCTTGTGAATCGGTAGCACAGTGAATCTACGCACTGGCCCGCTTTAGTTTACTTTGACTAATTGCACGTCGAAAATGAATTTGGGTTGGACTGGTAACTGCCAGATTGCTAGTATTTATTCAATTGGCGTGAAGATTATGTAAGATTTAATGTGGACGACATCAGCGGTGTTTATCACATTTTTCGTTTGGGGTCATCTCATTCAAACTACTGGGCGCATTGAGGAAATGTCGAGGGAGCAACAGAACTGTAGCGCTTTTAATATCACTGGTCATATGAGGCAAATGGCCGATGACCGCTGTTGTTTCCGAAATCCGTTCATTGATAGAGATTTACCTACGTTGTCAAGTTGTTCTAAAAAGTCGTCATCCAATAAATCGCTCTCTCTGAAATGCCTCCCTGAGTAGTGACAAAGCAGGGTCAAATATTCTCCCAAGTTATCTCTGAAACAGAAGCAAGACTTAGAGAAAGAAAAAAGTAGCTTTTGTGGCATAATATCAGTTCATAAGTAGGAGCTTATAAGAGTGAGAGTCATCAATGGACAGACCAACGAAACCTAACGATCAAGCCTCTATTTTGACATTGCACTGTTTGTCGACAAAATTACGTAGTTTTAGGGCCGTATCGCCAGTCGTTTCTACAATCTATATGGCATCCTTGATTTCCATTATTGTTTCTATCCTTCAGAAAGGCAGGCGTACGGACGTAAGGATGCCAAACCTTCATTTCAACTGTTCCGTGACACCCTGTGGTGTCAGTGCTCGTTATTTTCAAACTCCATGGGAAATTTCAGGCTCCTAAAACTGATGTTACACATGAGTAGCATGAAAACTATTCGGAAAATAACATTCAGGTATAAGACCGTAAGACGGGTGCTCTTGCGAACACCATCAACGAAGCTTCTGATCCTGACTTGATTCCTGCCGTTGTATTGAAGAGGTGTGCAGGCATCTTGACGAAAAAGTGAACTCTCCCACTAGACACCCAGTACAAGCATGCAGCACTTTGTCCCCCTCTCTTCAATTTTCGATTTGGTGCAAGCCTCTTCAAATTTTCAAATACCTTCGTTTCAGCATTTGAGGCTACCTCCTCCCTCGCTATAGCCATATTACCACCCTATTTCGACTATCCCAAAATTCAGTTGCAAATAATCTTCTTAGACAAGATAGTGGGAGAAAATTTTGTAATGACCTTATCAGCTAGAAATGATTGCAATATTACCTATATCTATGATGAATCGTTTGGACGGTATTTTTCCTGCGTAACATTTCTCAATAATATCATCGGAAGCAAAACCATAGAAACGACCTACTTGGAAACGCTTAAACGACTACCTAAAACAGATCGACTAGAGCTGTCATCTCGGGCCCTGGTAGGGCTATTACGTAAAAAACCCAAAAAACGTCAAAAAACGACAAAATGTCAACGGGCTGCCTATACAGGGTGTCCGCAAAGTTGGGGTTTTCCTTTTCAGAAACAACTTCCCTTGAAATAACAAAGGTAATGTGTAGTGAAACGAGGTCGACCAAGTGAAAAAAAATAAAGGAAAAAGTACTCACTCTCCAGTTGATGAGAAGGCCTAAGTACGTCTCTGCCTGAAATCGGAAGTTATTCACCCCATTACGCGTGAACGTAGATTCGTCTGTCACCAATATGCACTTCAAAAAGTCCGGATTATTGTCATGTTGATGCAACAACCACTCATAAAACCGCAATCTTGCTGGAAAATCGTCAGGTTGAAGGGCTTGTACACGTTGGACGTTTGCCACACTTTAGTTTTTGATACTTGCACGTCTCTAGCCACGTCTCTAGTGCTTGTTGAGGGATTTTCGTCTACGCGATTCAGTAGTTCTTCCTCAACTTGCACCATTCGTGGTTGTCTAGGCCTCCCACTGTGCCCACCTCGAAATTCCTCCAAATGGCCCGTATCCCTGACTCTCTGGACAAGGTACACAAATCTGCGGGGCCTTGGATGATGTCGTCTAGGGAAACGATCTGCATACACTCGCGACGATTCTGCATTATTTTGAAGACATTCGCCATAAATTAACAACATATCAACGAGTTCATTATTGGTGTATGAGTGTGCCATTATTATTTTTTTTTTTTTGAAACGCAATCGATTATACGGGTTCGTTACCTCTATACGCGTGACCCTTTACCGTCGGTTGAAGGTTGCATACTGTCCTGACACACTGACCCCAACCCCCGACCCAGTTCTGTCGTCGGGTTCAGCTAGTAGCCGGTACCAGTCTGAGATATCGCGGGTCGCGGCTACAGGATGGTATTCAGATATTTTTGATGTTGCAGAGCCCTTTATCGCGGTTCCCTTAAGACATTGGTGTATATGGTACTAAGAAAAATTGCTTATGTTTTCAAGATCTACACATCTTGTAAAGGAAAACCCCAACTTTGCGGACACCCTGTATAGTTCCTAGTGTGTAAATAATACATTCCGCGTTTGCTCCCTATGAGCGCTGTGAGCATCCATCTATGGAGGAATGACTCAACGACCCGACACACTCAATGACCATACTGAACCCTGCAAGTCAGTTCCCATCATGCTTTGTTGGTTGCAGAACGCCGAGAAAGACTGTAGAGTAGTATACTCTGAGATGTGTAGTAGAGTATCAGATGAGCAAGATTGGATCAGAATAATTGTCTTTGGGTCTGCATCTGTATAAATTAAGTGCTATGTAAGAAAATTATTGCTAAGTCTGCTGCCCACGAAATATATCTATCAGGTGTGAAAGATGGGTTATTTGTGTTCTCCTTTCTGAAGAGAGGCCTTGTTCAAAGTTATATATTACGATTTTCCCAGTTTTTTTGCGTTTTCGAAAGATAACAACATAAGTGACCCATTTGGCATAGCTAATAGATATACTTCATGGCTAATATCACTGATTTTATTCACATGCAGACCAGTACACACAATCACCATGCAATCATCCACATATCGTGCTACTCTTTCTTTCATATCTTACAGACTATCTCGGAATTCCGCAACCAGCAAAGCACGCTTGCGAACTGACATGTCGTTCAGTCATTTCTCCATAGGTGACGCTATAGACGATGTTCACACCGCTCACAGCGACCAACAGCAGAATGAACTATTTGTACACGAAGCAGCTGTCTAGTCAGCAAATTGTGCAGGCATCTTGACGAACAAGAAGCATCCTAGCGCTCATCCAGTATCGATGGATCAACAAGGTTTCCCAACGAGCAGGTTATTTCGGCTGGTTGGAGTCCAGATCACCGAGGTCTTAATCTGGCATTCCTCAACAGAGTCACCTGCCACTAGAATGAGAAAACATTAAATTACCATTTATGATGCAAAGGTAAACTCCTTGAATGCAGTGGGTTCTTTTAAGTATCCATCAAAGACTTTGGCTTGTCTCCAAGTTTTTGCGTTTTTTGTCATTGCGTTATCTATAAAATTTGCTAATAGGCCTTACCCTACAGTTACTCACGTATATGCCCTTTCGCAACGGCGCCTTCGATGATTATAATATATCAACAATCATCTATAAAAAAAACTGCTTTCATTCAGCTTAAGCCACTCTGTGAACTCCAAATAAACCTCTACCATTTTTGACAGTTCTGATTGTTGCAGTCTCCTAGAGTTACGTCCGACCCATACTTGGTAAGTATAAATACGTTTTTATTTGACTGTGCTTACTAGGTCTGTAAATTAATCGATGAAACTGGCAACGTAGCGTTCGATTAGGCAACACTGGAGGCGCTGGACTTGAAGGGGAGACAGCGGAACATGTGATCTGCCTTCAGTACAAGTTTAAAATCGTTCGAGTCATTTGGTTTTCCGTAACGATTAATTGATTAATAAAATCAATCTCATCGTTAAGTGTACAGACTTCGTGTAATAAAATGTTATAACCCGGCAACTGTGTTACTGGCTGCTAAGGTCATAAACTTCCGGCGGTACAGCGCCAGAATGGTGATGACTCAGAACACTTTTATAAGCACTCATTTTATAACAGATTTGGAAATTCAGGAACAATCTATTGCCGAAAATGGAGTGGAAGGAGAAAAGAACAAAAATTAGTAAAGCAAAGATAATCTTTTAGGATATGATGAAACGACTTGGTGAAATCAGTCGTAGAACAGATGCACTTACTGTTCCTCAGTGATATCTTTTCCATCCATTACGTCGTAGATGGCCTGCGTAAAATTGAAGATGGATCTCTTGGTCTTGGTCATTGGACAGATTGTGACAGCTGGGAAGGGCACAGTGTTAATCGGCGACTCCTTGTTAGAAAAACTCACGATGACCGGATGCGACATGAACCTCAAGAGTATCCTGCTGATCAGAACGCCGCAAACACATATTGCCAGAAGTAGAAGGGTCAGCCAGAAATACCTGGAATCAAGATGTTGATCAGTGTGGTCTAAAACTAAGACCCTCAGCATCGCCAAGGTAAAAAACACTCGCTCTTGTATGTACATTTTGCACTTATGGGCATCCTGAGTATATATTTGTTTTGGAAACAAATCTTTATTCAATAGTCAGTTTTAACAAATTTTATAGTAGACAAAGTTCTCTAATATGTCACTCAGGTGACTTTTGAGTGTTGTTACATAATTTCTGAAGAAATGTACATTTATTAAGCTGTTTGGTAGATTATTTTATGCTTTTACTGCATCAGTGACAGGGTTATTTAATCCTGTATTAATTATAGTAAGAATCTGGTACAAATTATTAAGTGATCTTCTTTCATAGTTATGCACATCATACGTGATCAGAATTTGTATCACACCTTTGTAGGTTGATTAAAATGTTGAAAATTATTTTACGATGTTCTAATTTCAACAGCTTATACAGGGTGTTTCACAACTTATCCGACAAATTTTAACCACATATGCACTGTTACGGAAGAAGTTGATTTCTCAAAAAAAAATGTAATAAAGGTCCTACAGAAATCGAGATAACAAAATAATAACGGTTCACACATAAAAGCTGTTGTTTCCATGCAATGCAAGCTTGGGCACGTCTAATCCACTTTCGGCGCACTAATTCAAATACAACCTCCTCCCTGCTGTGTCCGAAGCCTCAAATTATCGGCAGCCACTGTGTTTCGGTCAAAAATACCAGGAATTTTTTGTTTTTTCATACTGATAAGAGCGTGTAGGTTTAATCTGTATCGTGGGTGATCTGAATGGAGAACGGTCAATTTTTGTGTTAAATAAGAAAGTATTTTGCAAGTTCGTTTTTAGTTATTGATTAATAAAAATGGCACATCTGTACACTAATGAGGAGTTAGTGGACATTGTTTTAGCGTACGGAAAAGCAGGGCAAAATTCGCGAGCGGCTTCTCCTTTAGAAGTTCGTGATTTTTTTAATCAGGTACACCAGATATGCTGGATCAGAAGGGGTGGACCAGTTGCATGGCATCCACGGTCTCCCGATCTCAATCCTCTGGACTTGGGTATACTTGAAAAACGAGATATACCGTACTCCAGTTCAGAAGTTCAGAATATTGAAGATTTGCGTGACCGAATCACAGTGACTGCCGATAATTTGAGCCTTCGGGCACAGGGAGGGGGTTGTATTTGAATTAGTGCGTCGAAATCGGATTAGACGTGCCCAAGCTTGCAATGCAGTCAATGGAAACAATTTTGAACGGCTTCTATTAGTGAGCTGTTAAGCTAGATTATTTTACTATCTCGATTTCTGTAGGATTTTTATTACATTTTTTTTGAGAAATCAACTTCTTTCGTAGCAGTGCATGTAGTTAAAATTTGTTGGATAAGTTGTGAAACACCCTGTATACATAGTTTACTAACATTCTGTGCATATATTATCTGTGTTAGCAAGTCTGGCATAGTTGAACAAAATTCTTAATATGCTATATTGCGAACCTTGTGCTTTATGATTTTCAGTCTTACCACACATTGTGTTATCCAAATGTTGAATCTAACTCAACCGATTCAAATTCTCATCGATAATTCAAAGGTATTTGATGCTCGATACTTTTTCTACTTTGACGTCATTTGTTCTTATGCACAAGTGTTCAAATATTTTATTCTTCTGTTTAAAAATTAGATATTTTGTCTTATCGATGTTGATCCTCAGGTTATTGAAATACAGCAATTTACAGAAAAGAGCAAGATCTAAGCTTACTTTATTCCACAGAGCTTGCTCATGATTTCCTGTGTCATCACCACTAGTAAAATACTTTGCATTAAAATTGGCACTCTTAAGATTTAGAACATACAGAGAGTATAATAGTGGCCCCAAGACTAACGCCTGGGGATACCGTAGTCACTAGATATCCACTCACTATTTGTTTCACCGACCTTCGCAAATTGTTTCCTATTAAGTGAATAAGTTTTAATCTAATTATACATAGTACCCCTAAATCCTATATTTTGTAATTTATTCAATAATATATTGATATGCCTTTCTTAAGACTGCTTTAACCACTTAATTTTTATCCAGAGCCTTGAGACATAATTAACAAAATCAAGTACAACTGCAAGCGTACTACTATTTTTCATGAATCCATACTGGTAATTGCCAGCGAATGTATTTTCATCCTTTCATCCTTTTTACGATGACTTTTTCCATAATTTTGGATAAAACAATGATCACAGATATTGGCCTATAATTATTCATAGAGTCTTTATAACAAGATTTTTAAAGTGGACTAATTTTAGTGATCTTAAGATCATCCGGAAATCTTCCAGTTATAATCATATTGTTAATTGACTTTACTAATATTTTTGCAATATAAGGTCTGAGGTTGAGCATATCTCTGACTAAATAGCCATCATCGACAGCTGCTGAATTTATTTTTAATTTCAGTATGCTTTCATACACCTCTTGTTCATCAGTGAAGTCTACCAAATCACTGTTATGCATATAACCTTCCTTTTTTTAAATATTGGCACCCGACGTTCTAATTTAATTTTATAATTATTTTGCAATATAACTACTAACATTAGAGAAATGAATACTTAAATTATTCACTACTTTTCTTTTTTATCATGCACGAGAATGTTGCGAATCGTCAAACAATCAACGGTAGTCGTCTCTATTTTCTTTTTAATAAAACCATTGATAAACTTCCATTGCTTTTCGATGTTGTTACCAGCTAAATTAATCTACCTATTATTCAATACTTTGGTTTATCGTTTATTCGGTTTTTATTTTTTTAAATAGTAAATTTGGATTGTGTGGTTGTATAGCCCCTTGTTTGTAAATTTTATCCCTTTTTCCATCATTTCAAGTGTTTCTTCATCTATCCAACTATTATTTTCATGTATTTCTACACTCTTTGTCTCTCCGACTTGAACTTGCATACTTGAATTATATTAATTAGGTACTGGAACTTAGTAATATTCATTGTTTGTACTACCTTCCGTTGAACAATATATCGAAATCCCTTATAATCTTTATTTAATGATTTACTTTTGCTTATAAATTCTGATACTATCTTTAATATTCACTAAAACTAACTTATGATCCGACTTAACATACATGATGCATACAGTTTGAAAAACGCTTCAATTTGGATATGAAGCTCATTTTGATGTGAACTTCGCTATCTATATCTATCTATTTACAAGCTGCAAAATATTCCGCAGAAGGGATTCAAGCCGCATGACATGCTACATCAAACTTCTACCTTTGAAGGAGCTTTTCACACTACACTCAAATGTACGGGACAGTTCATTTAAAAAATTGTATGCTTCGCCATATAGCGGTGAATCACTCTCTAGAAGCGACATATTTTCAAGTAAAGAGCGTATATTTACCTATAATTCCCGTGAACAACTTTATTTGATATATTTTATAGTAATGCATCAGTCAAACAATTCACCCAGTATAGATTGAAGTTAAAGACGATACATTTATTCACCTAAAAAGTTTGAAACAATATACTTTAATAAATATGCTTGAAATACGAAACCCAGGATCAAAACAATCTAAGCTTTTCACCATAACAGCAAGCAGCAAGTCAGCTAGATGTGATTAAATTAAAATCAGGTTTTCCTTTTATTAAATCCCTCTAACATATTCCACCTCTATCCGCCTAACTCTACTTGAGGAGTTCCTGGAAAAGTATCTGGGTGGCCGCCAACCACGAATCCAGGAAGATCGTCTTCCACCTTCAATTGTCGCTTGCAGCAGGGTTGCCATGTTTAGTAAAATTTTGCTAGTCCTAGCGATTTTTTGCTTATCTAATGATTTGATGAGAATCTTAACCGGAATGCCGTTTTCCAGTGATTTTCCCAGCATTTTTTAGGTGCAAGGCACATGAAGGGCGTAAAAGTTGACGAGAAGCAGGGGTATTACGTAACTTAAAAAGTGACATTGTCGGTTCTCGGATTGAATTATTTGCACACTAGCCTACTTAGTCAACAAGTTGACATTTCAACTGCTTGTTTTTATATTATATAGGTTTTTTACGTAATAACACTGGCCATCTGCCTCACCCATATTGTGGATATTATACAGGGTGGCGCATCGAAAACGAAACAGACGCATTTACTGGCAGCTCAGTTTTTTTTTGGAAAAACACTCAGACCCGTCGATTTTGTTTTCGAGGGGGGCACAAGTTTGGTGCAGCCCTCTGGGCGGGGGTAACACCAACCCTAAAATCTTAAATGGAAAGGGGGTTCGAGTGATACCTTATTTTAAAGGTTTTTCAATTCCCTTTATAATGATGATGATACGTGAGCTTGAGTTCAGTAGTTTTGAAGATTTATTGATTTAAAGCTTAAATCAGACTTTAATAGGTACATCAGATTAGTTTGTACTACTTTCAGAAGAAATTTGACTAAAAGAATTTACTTGATAAGTAAATGCTTTTCTTCACTACTCCCATTGTTTGTTTATCATTTTGTTGTTGAAAATAGCTATTGGAGCGTTCTTTTGTGGCAAAAAAGTTATTTCTTGATGAAAGATAAGGAAATATCTCGTACTTGTTTTAAATAGGAATTTATTACATAGTTTGCGATTGATTTGACCAAACTTTGTTGCTGAAATAACTTGTATTACGTGTTCGACAATATTTATTTAAGACGTTTCCAGATCGATGGATTGGTAGAATTGAATGATCGACAGATTTATCACCTTTGGATTTCTTTATGTGGGGTCATTTAAAAAGCAAAATCTATGCTACTCAGCCAAAATCATTAGAAGACTTGCGACAAACAATTGTGAATGAGTGCCTTCAAATTACTCCTTAAATATTGCAAAATGTGTGGCAACGTTTTGAGCAAAATCTTTATTATTGCATGGAGAGTCATGGTGGCCATTTTCAACATTTACTTGCCTAACGGGTCAGTTCATTCTTCATTTTTAAATTACTTTGCTGCCAAATGTATTGATCTCCACTAATGATGATGTATTAG